CTGCCACTGGGGAACTGGCCATAGCCTGGCCAGACCAGACTGAGAGGACAGTGTAGCTACTGTAAGGGGTTGGGGGCCTTGACCTGTCACTCATGTTCCCTAGCCTATCTCCCCTGGCTTCACCTCAGACAGGGGATCTTCCCAGCTGGTCCAGAGTTAGACTATCAGGGTCCACCCCATAACCAGGCCCTCTATGTTGTCTGCTGTCCACGTGGGGACCAGATAGCAGGGACATAAATGGGGATGGGACCCACCAAGGGCAGGGAGTATAGGTCTGTGAGGGGCAGCACTACAGAGGGCAGGAAGAGTTAGAGGAGTTCAGTGCAAAGGCCATCTACTCACCCTGTCTTCAGGCATGTGACACTGTTGTCCCCAGTGGGGGACCAGACAGACTAAGTTCCTGACCTGAAGTCACACAGCCAGTTTCAAGTTGGTACTGCCAAGAAGAACAATAGCTGCTCCTCTGCTTGTTTCTCTTCACTCTTGGGGACTTCCTCTTCTCCTGGCTTTCCCTTGCCCTATCACCACCCTGCCTCCTGCCGGGAGGTCCTCACAGGGTCAGCCATTCCCTGTTAACTACACAGTACCAACTGCTTCCAGAGCTGTCCGGCTGGGCTCTCCAAGCCCTTCTGGATCATCCCCCATCTCTCTTGAAGTTCTAGAATTTCCTCTGGCTGATCTGGACCTGAGATAGAGACTGAGCATTTAAGGAAGCTGAAGGTGGGGATGACTGCAGAATTAGATTCTCTCTGTCTCTCACCTGGTGTCTAGTCCCCACTCCCTTCCCCCAGAATACCTGCCCACTCATTTCCAGCCTTCAGTGGATATTTTCCTGGGTTCAGTTTGGGTCCCAGGGACTGCTCCAATGGAAAGGACAACCAGTGGAACCCAGGCCTTCCATGCTAGGTACCTACATAGGAGGTCAGTGCTGAAATGACCCCTGGTCATGAGAAAATGAGCCCAGAGGGGAAAGGAACTTGTCCAACATCACATAGCTCCAAGGAAATAGAATCCAAGCCTCCTGATGACGACTGTCTGCTTTCTTCCAAATGACCCAACCAGTTCAGAATTTGCCTGCAATGGAACAAGGCCTCAGTTTTTGTCATCCCTGACTCGCTGGGCGGTCTCTGTTGGCCCCCCAAGCTGGAGCTCAGCCCTCTGAGCTTGGACAGCAGAAGCTTCACTCTAGCCCTGAGCAAAGCCCTCTCTTTGGACTGTCTGGTTTTGGGGTAACTCACAACATGCTCGTTCCTATTCTCCCCTCTGTCTTTCCTTGGCCTATCCCCCTCCCTTTGTCCATCCCAACCAGGAGCCATGGAAGTCCAAAGACAAGGCTGGTACAGCCCATGGAAGGCCCGTGTGAACAGCATGTGAGTAGCCACTTTGAGGTATTGTCCCCCTCCCTCCCTAACTTCTCCTCCCCAAACATTCATTCACACATCTAGCATTTATTGAGCATTTATCGTGTGCTTACTGAAGCACTAGGTTATAGGCACTAGACTTTTGCATATGCATCATCCAGTCCTTAAAAGAGCCCTCAGTACTGTGAGGGAGAGACTCAATCAGAGAGCAGTGTGACTGGTATCATTAGGGGAGCATAGGGGAAGAGCAGGGATCCCACATTTAACTGGGGGTATTCACCAAAGGCTTCCTGGAGGCGGTGACATCTAGGTAGAGGTTTAAGGATGAGTTAGCACTAACCTTAAATCTTACCAACGGCGTGGGAGCACACTTATGAAGTGTGTTCATGAGGAGGGAACCGCTTGTGTAAAGGCCCTGAAGGGTCCCATGTCCTTGTGGGGATCTGGTGGCACCCCCAAGCCCTGGGCAGAGGCTGAGAGCCTCCAGGCTTTCTTGCCTGGCTCCTTCAGCCTGCACAGGCCCTGCATCTAGAAATGCCTCTTGCTGACAGTTGGTTCTGAGTTCCCCGCCCAAGGCAGGGTGGGGATGCGGCCTCCTGGGGAGGAGCAGGCTCTGGCCACCAGGCCTTCGGGATGGGCTCTGGGAGGAACTGGAGTCCTGGAAGAGAGATGTGGGGAAAGCCTGGTTCATGGCCTGCAGAGCCAGAGCTCCCTGTGAAGTGAAACGAAGATCCCAGCTGGAGCAGGGACAGGAAGAGGGGCCACCAGAGCCACAGGAAGAGGACAGCGTAGTGGTGGGACTAGCCAGGGGCCTGCACCACACACCTCCTCAGAACAGGTGGAGGTCTCTCTCCCCAGACTAAGCCTGCTGCTCACAAGCGGGCATCTGCCCAGCCTCAGGAAAACAGCAGCCACGTGTTGGCCTGGAGGAGGGTGGTTGTGGGGAGGAACGGAGGAGGCGGCTTTGGGGGACAGGTTCAGGGGTTTATGTTACTGGGGAAGGGGGATTCGCAGGGGGTTTGGTGCTGGAGTGGGAGCAGGAGACTCTGGAGTCCAATCTGCCTCAGAGCTGCCAGGAATCCCTCCAGCAACACCCAAGGAAGCCAGGCCATGCATAGGGTATTGCGTGGCCCGGCCCATGGGAAGTGGGAGAGTGGCCTGGAAGCCCAGCTAGCCAGAGACGTGGTAGAGTTAGTGGCTGTTCTGAAACTAACCTCTAGGAAGCACACCAGTGGCTCCCAGCTGCAGCAAATAGGCAGAGAGGGCTGAGGTGCATGTGACTGGACAAAGGAGGAGGCAGAGAGTCCGGGAGGCTTTCTGGGAAAATTTCCCACCCCTACCGGCCTTGAGAAGTAACCTGAGCCAAGGAAGCAGACTCCCAGCTGGGTGGGCAGGCTCAGGTGAGGGGTGGAGGCTGTGACAGCGCTGCTACCTGCTGCTTCAGCTGAAAGCTGCGGGAGGGGGACCACTGACAACTTCTTGCCCGGCCCTGGGGTAGCCCAGCCTCCACTATGGCTGTGTTGCCCAGGATCAGGCATTGGAGGGCTGGGGAAAGGTGAAGCAGCATGATAGCAGATCCTTAGCTTGCAGCTGGCATGAAGCTGTCTGGAACAGCTGGAGGATGGAATTGAAGTCTGAGGAGAAGGCCTGGCATCAGTAAGGGCTTGATGGTGCCAAGTTCTTCCATGAAAAGCTAGGAGCTGGTGCTGGGAGTGAGGGACCCCTGGGTGCTTGCAAGCTGCCCAAGGGAAGGTTTGAAGAGGTCCCAGACAGCCAGGGTCACAATCTGAGTGGGTCCCTGACAGGGACCAGGAGCCCGAAGAGGACAGGGCCAGGACCATGACAGAGGAGGACTGGGTGAGGTCTCCACAGCAAACACCTGAGAGTGAGGTGATGGAGGTGGGGCTGGAAATCCAGGCCAAAGCCCCAGGAAGCCATCTGCCCTGCCAAGGGAGCAGGCTGAGTGTGAGCAGGCGTGCAACCTCATTTGACACCACACTAGTCCAAGACCTGGCCCCAAATCTACACCTCAGAACAACCACAGTCCAACCTGGTTGAGGTTCCTGGCTGAGCTGACTCTTTTTCCAAGGGGGAAAGGGAATGGGCTCCATGTTTACAGGCTGGGAGGCAAAGCCCACCCCTCCCTGTACCCCTTTAAGGAGTCTGCTTTCCTACCCTGCAATGCACTAGAGGCTGTAGATGCTACCAGGATGTGTGAAAGGCGACACCGCCAGGCACTCAGCACTCAGGCATCTCTCTGGAGCTGGGTGGAGGGAACATGGTATAGGTTCCATAGGCCCAACTTCCCGGGGAGCCTCGTGAGTTCACATGCAAGCTTTTCTCTGGTGGGGTCACTCTGGCACAGAGGAGCGGGTGGGATTCTTCTACGCCAAACATGGGGAAGAACACACCTGAGCATGGTTAGTTTCCCTCCTAAATATGGGTCTGAACTAGTACTTCCTGTTTTATGGAGGGTGAGTCCTCACCAGCAGTGTGAAGGAGTATCTCAGTCACTGCCAACTTCTGCAGCTCAGGGTAGATTCAGAAGGTTAGAAGCACCCTGCAACAGTCGAGTTCCTGCTGCACACCGAGTAGGCCAGAATGCACGTTTATCACAAACATCTTGACAGGCAACTTCTAATTATATGCTTTACCAGACAAGAAGTGTGCTTCAGACAGTACAGAAATTCAGTCTTTATTTGGCTTTCTATGGCAGTCAATTTGTCTTCCTAATCATGACTTGCATAAACTACTTACTAAGTGGATGTGCAGTCTCAGAGCACAAGCCAGAAGTGCGATGAAGGGGGTCAAGGTGGGAGACTTGCAGGCCCTGGCTATAAAAACTGTCCAGAGGCCATCCCAAGAGAGATAAAACTAGGAGCTGACTAGCGCCACTGCTAGCCGTCCGCATCATCATAACAAACCAGCCTCATCGTGAAGCGCCATTCTGAGATCACTCACTCATCTGACAGATGCAATTAGAATCCCTCTTTTACAGAGACGTAAACTGAGATAGAGAGCCGGAAGGGTCCCTTCTGTGGCTAGTTTGTTGGCATTCCTATCAGAGGCCAGAAGGTATCGGTGAACTCCCCGTAGCGGACGGGGTGGGCGAGAACCGCTAAAGAAGCCCCTGGTGGGAGACAGGTGAGGCAGTACAGGTGCCCACCCCGGAGCTCCTCGAGGGCCAGGGCAGTCGGAGGCACAGGCTGCAGCTACAAGGGTGAAGGGAAAGGCGCTCAAGTGCTAGGAACGTCCCTGGGTGGCAGAGGACTTGCATGAAACGTCGCTGTCCTCAGATGGGCAAGCGGTGCAGGCCTGGGTTTAAGAGGAAAGACAGGGAAAAGCGCCCTTGCCCTCTAACTCGAAAGCCTTCCTTGGCGCGCTAGCATGGCTCTGAGCTCTTTCTCGGTCTCCTGAGAAAAGGCAGCAACCCCGTGAGAGTCCAGCGAGGTTTCGTGCCTGGCCAGGTGGAGAGGGACGAAGTCCGTACTGGGGCAGAGCCGAGCCCCTCCGGCGACTCCTGGGGCAGGGTTTGGAGCCGGAGGGTGGAGACGCGGGGCGGGGCCTCCGGGCGCCCAATCGCCTTCTTTCCCCGCCCCTTCCCCGCCCCCGCCCCTTTCCACCAACAGCACGCCGCGGTGGGCGGTCCCTCTTACGCCAGCCGTTCCAGGGTGCGATTTTTTTCCGACCCCCCCTTTTCTCTCTCCTTTTCTCTTTTTTTCTTTCCCTTTTTGTGAATGAAAAAAGGAGGTCGAGAGCGGTGCCCGGGACTGCGGCGCTAGGCAGGCGTCTCCAGGCAGCGCCGGCGCCGCGGGCCTCGCCCCGCTCCTCGCTCTCTTGCGCGCCGCCCGCAGCCTCCACGCAGAGCCCGGCCCGGCAGCCCGGGGTCGGGACGGCCGCGGCAGCCCGCGCCCCGCGCCTCCATGACATTGGGCGCCCGGGGCGCGGGGAGATGCTGATCCGGAAGAGGCAGTGTCTGCAGTGCAGCGCACGCGGCCGCTCGCGGCCCGCCGTCCGGCCTGGGCTGCTCTGCCAGAGTTTCTGATCCATCGCGAGCCCGGCCGGACCTGGAGCCCACAGCGGGGCGGCGAGGGAGCCGGCGTCGTCCTGACGTGCCCGCGCGGAGTGACCCCAGACACCTCACTAAAATGAGCGTGCTTAGCAGGAAGAGACGTGTTCTTTACACTAGCAAATGCCCCGTCACATGTAGTGGTGTAAGTAAATGATTGATACCTATTTTGGCCTGGTTGCGAGCAGCCTCGCCCTCCCGCTGCCTCCTGCGTGTGCCCTCCTGGCCTTGCCTGCGCCCCTTGTCTTCCTCCAGGGCTCTGGCTCCGCTGCTGGCTTCTGAGGGGCGAGGGGCTGACCTTCCCCGGTGCTGTTTCCAGGGAAAGGGCGTTGACTCCACTGCGTGTTGTGCCCCTCCCCCTCTCCTTTTTACATTGTGTGTGCAGAATAGCGTGTGTGGGGAGGGGGGAGTTCAAGGTGGAAGTGTTAATGTTTTTTAAAAAATGCTGGTGGAACTTGGGCATTTTGCTTGCGGCTGTGAAGATGTCTCTTTGAGCTTCACCCCATTGCAGTTTGTGCAACTGAGTTCTGGTAAACTACTGGTGGAAACTGCTAGCGTTGTTTGTAAAAATTTCGACATCTTAGGCTTGAGAAGGCTCATGCAATGTTTAGGCTTGCAGTTTTACTAACATGACCATTCAAGATCCCTCTGGGCCTTGCTGCCCATTGGATCTAAGCGAAGACCCATTTCTCCGCCTTCTCAGGTCTTACAAATGTCAGCGACCCCAGTGGGAACTCCTTTAGTTCCAAATCCACCCTCTGCTCATCTCCTCCGATTCTCCCTTCCTATCCATCTTTTTGATTTTTACCTTCATTTTCAGGATTTTCCTCCCTTTCACGTTTTGTAAGATGCAGGATGTGGGATATCGGTTGCTAGGAGACAAGCCAGGCTCCCAGGGAGATTCTGTCGTTTCCTTGACAACCGGACTAGGGCAGCCACAGATGAACAAGCCTCCTATCAGCTGTGGGAGGGAAAAGGGGGCCTTTTCTGAGCTCTTTGAAGAGTGTGTGTAGGGGTGTGGGGGAGCAATGGGAGTCCATGAGGCTTGTTGCTAATCTGAGTACACCTTAAGGTCTGGCCTGAACCAGATGGAGAACTGGGAGAGCAGCTGGGCAGGCAGAAAGCTGCTTGGGGAGAGGGCCACAGTGCTCATGCTGCAAGGGTCAGGGGGAAGTATATGCCGGTGACTTTGGGATTATCCGGGAGAGGTGGGAATTGGGAGTTGTGATACACAGGGGAGGGTGGCAAGGAAATATTAGTTTCTGGAGAATACTTGAGAGGCTTTGCAGGAACAGGGATGAAGCAACGGGGAGAAAAAGTCTAGAGTCATTGAAGGCGAGGGTGCCAGAGGGAAAGGGAAGTTGAGAAGCCCCCTGAGTGGGTAGTACCATCATGTATCAGCAGTGGTCCAGAAAAGTAGCAGTACCCAGAGCAGAATTTATGTTACTGTTGGCACACTTGCTCCAGGACAAGATTCTCATTTAAGACAGGCCTGATTAGACAAAGAGTTCTGCTGACTTAATTGGGCCAGTCTGTATCTTGGAGATATAATTACACATATAGATATGCAATCTAGCATTATATAATACTACATTACATAAGAAGACAAATGCCTCCTTTCACCCAGGCTCTCTTGGCACAAGTTAATGGAGATTCAGGAGACTTTCTGCCAATTCCCTCATACCCATTTTCCAGAGGGTAAGACTGATGCCCACCAAAGTGCAGTGATTTGCCTTTTCCTTGGTAGGATGATGAAGTTTGCCAGTTAGGCAGGGACAGGGGTGGAATGGGTGGGGAGGATGAACATATGGAGATGGTTAGAGGACACACGGAGGGGCAACTGTGGCGCCCATGGGGAGGGGTGTTCAGCTTGGTAGCCACCCAGCAAATTTGGTGTCTAAATTCGTGGCCTGGTATTGTCACTCTTCTACTTGTTGGCTGGCTGTCTCTACCTAACCCTAGAGGCGACGTAACATAAGGTGCACGGGAGTGTTTTAATCATACAGCAGCTGAACCCAGACCAGACCCGCTCTGCTGGTGGCCTGGTATCGTCCCCCCTACCAAGATGCTCCTGGGTTGAAGACCTGAGCCCCGACTCCCTCCTTTCTCCCCTTCCCCACCTCTGCCTCCAGAGCTCCATGCTGCTAGAACCTAAACTCCAGAAAGTTCTGTGGGCCAGTGGGTTTGAATTTCTATCTTATAGCTGCTCGCGCTTTGCAGTTGGGATTCTGTTTTGTTTTTCATCCATGAAGCAGAGACCACACCCACAGGCCTCCTCCCCGTGGTTTTCAAACATCCCTGTGCTGAATGACTTGAGATCAGGACGGTCAGTGTGAGCTTCCTGGTCCTTAACTCCGGAGAGAGAAGAGGGAGGAGGAAGCTAGTAGTTAGAAGAGCGGTGGCCTGATGGGAAGAGAAGGATGATGCAGATGGGAGGAAGCTGCATGGAGGCCCCTTGTTGTCTAAAGGTTCAGATGCTGTGAAATTCCGAAGAGGAGGAGGAGACCGTCTCATTGAAAAATCCTTTCTGCACTTTTTGCTTAGGTTGCTGCACTGCATCCACTCGGGCAAATCCCAGTTGCCATTGTTACTTGGGTATTTTGGTTCTGCATTCCTGCATGTTGGCATCCAGTTACAGCCTGCAGGAATGGAGCTTCTCTGCTGCTGGTGGCGGCCTGGCTTGGGCTGCATGGCTCAGCAGCGAGATGCCCGTGCAGTGTCCACTCCCCTGAGCGCCACCTTCCTTGGCCGAGGAAGGATTCCTCCAGGTCGTTCTAGCCCTCAGACAATTGCTCCTGCACACAGGGAATATGAGCAGGGTCCGACCCATGACCATGCAGAAATCAGTTCCCTTCCCTTTCCCCTCAGCCCTTCCAGGAGGGTGGATTCCAGCTGAGAGGTTGCCAGCCCAAGCCCCCTTGAGCCTCCTGGTAACAGCTTTTTAAACACTGACATGACATTTTGACTGCAGAAGGGCCTTCTGTTTGTTCATTCGAGCCATCCCTCGCTGGGGCTGAACAAGCTACTTCCTCGTGCCCAACACTGGAGGAAACTGAGGCAAGCATTTGCCCAAAATTCAGGCAGAAACTGTGACCCTCTGCTTCTCCTAGCAAGCCCACACTCCATGGAGACAACAGAGTGAGCTTTCCTGGGAGTGCCGGCTGCAGGGTCTTCCTAGGGGTAGGACGTGCAGAGGAGGGCAGATCTCGCTTTCCCTGGGGCTGGGTGCAGGGTGCTGAGGAGGGGCAGCCCAGGTAGGGGATGAGAAGGCCTGATCAGTTGGCACAAGCAATGTCAAGCTGGCCCTTAGCTGAACAAGACACATGGGCAACATGGCAGACCCTGTGTAGAGGAGGGGAGGCCTGCGGGCTGGGCAGGTGCATCCTCTCTAGCCCGCAGAGGCTGGTAGGAAACCTTTGCTATCTCCTTAAAGAGTGCTTGGCTTGGAGGAAGGATGTGAGCAGGCTGGGGCATGGAAACGCACCACCTGAGAGGGCCAGGGCAGCGCTGACAAGTCCATTAAATTTTAAAGTGGCCCTGCCCTGGGGCATGCTGGGAAGGGGTGGGGACCTGGCCCCAACTCTGCTTCTCTCAGCTGTTTGTTCTGCTGCTGTCACATACTTGGGGAGGAGGAGAGCAGAGGACATGCTCCTCGCTCTGGGGCATCGGGGACAGGACAGGCGCTGGGCAGGGTCTGCCTTGGGATCTCTCACAGGCTTCCTCCATCCGGCAGCCCAACAGGAAGATGGTGGGGACCAGAGGGAAACAAGTGGCCCATCTGGTGGCGTTGCCACCCTCAGCCTGAATGGGCTCCTGTTTCCTCAGGGCCCTGCAGAGCCACTGTCCTGAAAGTTCCCCACTCTGCTGGACAAGGGGCCAGCCCCAGCTGAGGAGAGCTGCCTGCCTGGGCCCTGGTCCTCGGGGGGCTGGGATGCCAAGCCGTCCTGACTGTTCCCCTCCTGCCCCACAGGTCCCAATTAATGGATTCTGACATGGATTATGAAAGGCCAAATGTAGAGACCATCAAGTGTGTGGTGGTGGGGGACAACGCTGTGGGTAAGACCAGGCTCATTTGTGCCCGGGCCTGCAATGCCACCCTCACACAGTACCAGCTGCTCGCCACCCATGTGCCCACAGTGTGGGCCATCGACCAGTATCGTGTGTGCCAAGAGGTAAGGCTGCAGGACCACTCAGCGGGGGCCACACCCTGTCTCTGTGGCTTCTTCCTAAGCTGTGGCTTGGGGTCTCCAGAGCTCACAGGGCCCAGCGAGGAGTGGGGGCAGCTGAAGCATAGGGAGCCCTGGAGACAGGTTGAGGGGAACCCACAGCTGAGGCATTGTCTTCAGCCATTTGTGTTTTGAATAGTTGGGCTGGTGCCCAGCAGACCCCAGATTTGGCTTGGTACCACCTACTGTGCAATCAGAGCCCTAAGTAAAGGGGAGTCCCCCAGGCTGCAGCTCGGGAGTGGTGAGAGCAGGGCGGGGGAAACGTCCAGTGCCAAAGAGATCAGAGGCTTGTCAGTACGTGATCGGGAGGAAAGTTGGAACAAGGGTAGGATCCTGACTCTACCCGAGCAGTCTGCCTTCTTTTGGTCCCTCCCACTTCTGCTCTGCTTTGGGGCCACCTTGTTCCTGATTCTCCAGAGATTTCGCATGGATGAGCGTGTTGTGCAAGGCACACAGTAGGAGATGCCACTTTGTCCCTTCACCCCCCTGCCATGTTGCCACGGAGCCTGGGGGGCGAGCTGGCACCTAACCCAGGAGCTGCCACCCTGGTCTCCACTCCCACCCAGGTGCTGGAACGCTCCCGAGATGTGGTAGATGATGTCAGCGTCTCCCTGCGCCTCTGGGACACCTTTGGAGACCACCACAAAGATCGCCGCTTTGCTTATGGGAGGTAGGGGAGCCCTGGGCTGCCTGTGGGGAGCCGCGTGGGTGGGATTTTCCTGTTTCCCCAAGAGACCAAGCGAAGGTGTGCACCTGAAATCAGAAGAGAAGAATGGAGCAAAACAGCACAGCAGATGCCTTTGGGGCAGGGCGGGATGGAGAGGCCTGGGTTTAGGGTCCAGACCCCTGGTTTGAGTCCCAGCTCTGCCACCCACTAGCCTTGAGCTGACTTTTCTTACCATGAGATGGTAGAAATGGTAATTTTGAACTAGGAAGATAACCATGAGGCCCTATGAGCTACGTGAATTAGAGGTACTATTATCACGTGTTGTGTGGGAGATCAGGGGAACAGGCTCCTAAGCCAGGTTTGGGCCTGCAGCACAGGGGTTGGGTGGGCACGTGTGTCCGCTGGTTCCAGGCCAGGTCATTTCCTGCCAGCTTTCTCTGCCCATGGCTTCTCTCTCCCACCTCCAGATCGGATGTGGTGGTTCTGTGCTTCTCCATTGCCAACCCCAATTCCCTCCACCATGTCAAGACCATGTGGTACCCAGAAATCAAACACTTCTGCCCTCGAGCGCCTGTCATCCTGGTGGGCTGCCAGCTGGACCTGCGCTATGCTGACCTGGAGGCTGTCAACCGGGCCAGGCGGCCCTTGGCTAGGTAGGGGTGCTGCAGGCTGCGGGGAGGGGTGGGCGCCTCACCACAGCTCCCCACTCAGCTCTGCGGGAGGCCCACTGAGGCTTACATCTCTCCCCCCATTTGGAGTGAGCTCGCATCAGCACTAACTAGCATGCTTGTTCACCCATCCATTCATCCTACTGGGTGAACAGTACTGTCCCTGGGCACTGCGCAGAAAGACAGAGGGCTGGGTGGGATTTGCAGGAGAAGATCTTCCAATTTTGTTGGAGATAATACAGTGGACCTTCTGTATCCAGAGGTTCGGCCTCTGTGGATTCAACCAGCTGTGAATGGAAAATATTTTTTAAAAACTGCATCTATATTGAACATGTGTAGGCTTTTTTTCTTGTTATTATTTCCTAAACAAGGTATCATAATAACTATTTACATAGCATTTACATTGTAGTAGGTATGATAAATAATTCAGAGATGATTTCAAGTATAGAGGAGGATATGTACAGGTTCTCCATATGCTGTGACATTTTAAATCTGAGACTTGAGGTTTCACCGGTCGTGGTATCTGGGTGGGTCCTGGAGCCGGTCTCCCTGGAATACTGAGGGACGGCTGTATGAGGTTAATATCGCTGTGAACCCTTGCATGCTCGTTGCCAGAGAGGGAGGTGGCGGCATCACTGTTTCGTAGGGGGGTGTGGGCTGTCACTGGGGTCCGGCGTAGATAGGGAAGACTTCCTGGAAGATGAAGGGTCTGGAGGTGGACCTGAGGGACCTTCTAGGGACTTGGCCAGGCAGAGGAGAAAGCGCAGGGTAGCAGAGGGGCCAGTGACATAGATCGGGAGCAGTCGCTCCAGCCCAGGGAAGGATGGGCAGGCTCCCTCCACCACCAACACAAGTTTGGTTTCCCTCCTTGAACTCACCAGGCCCATCAAGCCCAATGAGATCCTTCCCCCAGAGAAGGGTCGGGAGGTGGCCAAGGATCTGGGCATCCCCTACTATGAGACCAGCGTGGTGGCCCAGTTTGGCATCAAGGACGTCTTTGACAATGCCATCCGGGCCGCGCTCATCTCCCGGCGCCACCTGCAGTTCTGGAAGTCCCACCTCCGCAACGTGCAGCGGCCTCTGCTGCAGGCGCCCTTCTTGCCCCCCAAGCCACCGCCCCCCATCATCGTGGTGCCCGATCCCCCCTCCAGCAGTGAGGAGTGCCCCGCCCACCTCCTGGAGGACCCGCTCTGTGCGGATGTCATCCTGGTGCTGCAGGAGCGGGTGCGTATCTTTGCCCACAAGATCTACCTCTCCACCTCCTCCTCCAAGTTCTACGACCTGTTCCTCATGGACCTGAGTGAGGGGGACCTGGGAGGCCCCTCTGGGCCAGGGGGGCCCTGCCCAGAGGACCACCGGGGCCACCCCGATCAACACCACCACCATCATCACCACCACCACGGGCGGGACTTCCTGCTACGGGCAGCCAGCTTCGATGTGTGTGAGAGCGTGGATGAGGCTGGAGGCTCCGGTCCTGCTGGTCTCCGAGCCTCAACCAGTGATGGGATCTTGCGGGGCAATGGAACAGGGTACCTGCCAGGCAGGAGTCGTGTGCTGTCTTCCTGGAGCCGAGCTTTTGTCAGCATTCAGGAAGAGATGGCAGAGGATCCTCTGACCTACAAATCCCGGCTGATGGTAGTGGTGAAAATGGACAACTCCATCCAGCCGGGGCCCTTCCGGGCCGTTCTCAAGTACCTGTACACAGGGGAGCTGGGTGAGAATGAGCGGGACCTCATGCACATCGCCCACATTGCCGAGCTGCTGGAGGTCTTTGATCTGCGCATGATGGTGGCCAACATTCTCAACAATGAGGCCTTCATGAACCAGGAGATCACCAAGGCCTTCCATGTCCGTCGCACCAACCGGGTTAAGGAGTGCTTGGCCAAAGGCACCTTCTCAGGTATGGGGCATGCTTAGAAAGTTGAGGATTGTCTCCAGGTAGCTTTCCCAGGTCCCATTAGCATTCCAAATGGGTTTCAGCTCCTGACGTTTTGGAGCTAGGGCTGCCTGCTCCTGGAGCGGAGAGCTTGGTTGTTTATACTCTGCAGCTTGTGGCCTCGGAAGGAAGCTGGGTAGTCAGGGCTCCATGCTTGCCCTTGGGGTCAATTCCCCCATGCTCAGTGTCTGCTCACGTGATGCCTCTTCTCCTCCCGGACAGATGTGACCTTCATCCTGGATGATGGCACCATCAGCGCCCACAAGCCCCTGTTGATTTCCAGCTGTGACTGGATGGCTGCCATGTTTGGGGGGCCATTTGTGGAGAGTTCCACCAGGGAGGTGAGGCTGAGTGTGGGAAGGGGTCAGGGGAGAGACAATGATGGGCCCAAGAGAAATGTAGAGCCCAGGAGTCTACTATATTCCAGGAGAGGGAATTAGAGTTACATCTGAACTTGATAGTTTAGGAAAGACTCTCATCCATGACTCTCACATATAGTGTGGTGTTCCCACTTCGTACATAAGGAGGGGAGGCCCTGGCAAAGGGTGATCTGTGAACAGAAAGGAGAGATTAGGACTGGAAGTCAGGATGGTTGACTCCTTGGGCTCTTTACATCGTACCTTATTGCTTCCCTGAGACATGTGAGACAACTGGGGGAAAAAAATTACTGTGTTCCAAGCTGAATCCATCACCGTCTTCAAAGATAGGTTTTATTACTGTCGAGCTGTGGTGAGGCCAACATCTGGAGATGCCCACCACTGAAAAACTGTTCTGTCAGGTCCCAAGGCAGGGAGCGTGCGCACCATGGGGGCCACACCAGGAAGCCCCAGGGTTGGTCAGGAGGCGGAGGGTATCTGTGGGAAGGAACAGAGCAGGCACAGTAGGCAGGCTTAGGGTTGGCCAGCCTGGACTGTTTCATTGGCTCTGGGGCATAGGGTGTCCCGAGTTGTCTGGTACCTGGCTCTGGGGTGACTGGGACAGAGGAATAAAGGGAGTGTGAGAAGTGGCTGTGGATGTGGTTGGCTTGGGTAAGGAAGGTCCACTTGTAGGCAGCTTCTTTGTTATCTCCAGGAACTGACTAGCCCTGGGAGGGGCAGCCCCCCAGGACCACCATGACTCTAGAGTCAAAACATTAAAATTTAGAATATAAAAGAGCATGCTGAGTCCAGTCACCTTGTGCTGTGAGTGGTGCCTGTCCAACTCACCTCTTGCTCGTTCCCATTCTACCACTTCCTCAGACCCCTGGACCGGAAGCTCCGAGCTTGACAGGCATATCGCTGTGTCCTTAGAAATGTTCTTGCTTTTCCATCCTCCCAGCCAAGCAGCCCTTGGTATTCTCCATCATCTCTGAATCCCAATTGCCCACCACCATCCCTCGTAGTTAAGGTTCTACTCTGCTCAGATGAGCAAGTTTTTCCCACTGGTCTGTGATTGTTTTTGAGTCCAGGGACTAGGTCTTTGGCTTCTGCCAAGTACCTGTCTGTTAGTGAAGGATCACCAAATACTTGAATGAAAAGCTGAGCCAAGAGCAATTCAGTATCATTTCCCGCTATCCAGAACATGATCTTCCGAAGATTTCTGGGAAGCAAGTCCTTAGGGAAAGCTAAGTGGAGGGTTGAGGTGTGGGGTGGTCTCGATGGTGGGAATAGGATTTGGATTTACAAAGGGCAGGACGAGGATTCTCTGCAGCCCTGGGAGCCCGCTTGCCCCGGGTACTTCTCAGTACCAGTGACACCAGCTTTAAAGCTCTGGCCAACTCCCAGCAGGCCCAGAGAGACTCACATCTGATGAGAAAGCAGTTTTGGATGCAGCACTGCTTCACAGAGATCCCGGAGGCCCAGAGCAGCAGCTTTGAGCAGCCAGAGAGAAGCCAGCTGGCATTCCCTTTGCTCATTCTGTATCCCACTCCACCTGCTCCCTGCAGGCTTGGGGCAGTGGGGCAGGTGATGGAAATGGCTCCTTAAAGCACCTGCAAGCCAGAGCGGCTTTAAGATACCGTGGGGGAATCTACATCACTTTATAACTTATGCCTTGTTCGTGGGTGCTGTCCACAAACTCGTCACTTCAGAGACTGGGCCTTTGGGGTCTCCTGAGCAGGTGCAAGCCCAGCACAGCTCCTGGGGCTGAGTTCCTCTCTCCCTGAGCTGGGTCTCATGCCCCCCGGCCTGCTTCTCCCTGCCCAGGTGGTGTTTCCCTACACGAGCAAGAGCTGCATGAGGGCGGTGCTGGAGTACCTCTACACTGGCACGTTCACCTCCAGCCCCGGCCTGGACGACATGAAGCTCATCATCTTGGCCAACCGCCTCTGCCTGCCGCACTTGGTTGCCCTCACAGGTAACTAGCTGGGGAGCGCAGGGACCTCCCGGGGGAGTGATTATGTGTCACCTGTCCCCTCTCTCCTGGGAACAGGCTGTACCCCAAGGGATGAAGCATTTCTGGCATGAAATCCACTGACACATGGTTTTGTGGGTGAGGATGTGGACGGGGAGTGTGTTTGAGGGGTGCGCCGAGAGGCTATCCCTGGTCATCTCAGCCCACAACATGGCTCCCGGCGGGCGAGGGCACATCGGCCCAGGCAGGCTCACGAAGTCCACAGAGACTAGAATGCCATTCCACGTTTCTACCCCATGATTCTCCTCGTCTGCTTCGTCCTTCCCTTTCCTTTTCTTTTCTGCTCTACCTTTGACCTGATCTTCTCTTCCTTCTTCCAGAAACAGAAGACAAACATTGGCCTGCCACTACTAACTCAGAGAAGTGTTGGGAGAGCTGGAGGCTCTGGGATGCCCTCAGGGGTGGGGAAAGAACTGGGCAGCAGGGTGACCCAGCCTGGTCCGAGGGTCTGAGGAAAAGAAATGGCGTCCTTGGGGTGCAGGGATTCAGGCTGGAGACCCAGGCAGCCAGGTGGTTGTGTTGGTGTTGGAATTGGTGTTTGTGTTGCTTTTGGTATTGCTACCGGTGCTGGTGTTGAGGTCAAGGTTAATATTTCTGGCCAAGCTGGTGGAAGGCAGAGAGAAGATCCTCAGATATGGAGTTGGGGTTTAGGCAAGGACCGAGTGTCAGAGTTGCTGGGGCCCTGGGCAGAGGACCAAGACTGGGGTAAAGACATGAGAGAAAACAGCAATCTCATGATGATAAAGGAATTGTAAGGCGGAGCATGGTCACAGGAAAAGGCAGAAATCATTGATCAGTTCAGAGATGAACTGCAGTAGGAGTCCAGGGACCCTGGCTGGGGACAAAAAGGACTTTAGGGCAGGGAGTAAGAGAGGAATCTCAAGATTACAGCTCTAACAGTTTTGTCTTGGAAAAACAGTGTGGAGCACATAAAATTTCACATTCTTAGGTGGAGTAATTTTACTTTTAAAAGACTATCAAAAAATGATCCCAAGGAAAAATAAAATATGTGAAGATATTTCTCTAAATATTTACTTCATCAGGGCAGGCAGTTAGAACCTAGTCAAAGAAGTACCCTTGGTTACGCCCACGTAGATAATTTTCACATGGTAACCACTTAATAACGCTGGAGGCTGGAGAGCAGCTCATTGGTAGGGCACTTGCCTAGTGTGTTCCATGCCCTGAGTTCCATCCCCAGTATTCCGAAAACTTCATTCATTCATCCATTCATTTTAAAAAGAAAAAGAGAATGATGTTGCGTACATTTTCTCTGGAAATGGTACATTCACGCTAGCAAATGTCTACAAAAATGCAGGAATTGACTTTGTAAAGGATCCTTGGGGAATGCTGGGTGCTTCCCGTAACTGATGAACTCTTAAGTTTTGTGAAACATACTTCCCATGAAGTTTCTCATTCAGACTCAAAACTTGTTTGTCGTTGGGCCGGGGATTTAGCTCAGTGGTTTCACTGCCTGCTGCACAAGCGCAGGGATCCGAGTTCGATCCCCGGTACCAAAACCAAAAACCAAAAAAAAACTTGTTTGTTGTTAAGTATAAATACAAATACAGAAAACTGCATGAAATGTGTTCAGCTTAGTAAATTATTATGAAGCCAAATGTCTTTCCAATCACAAGGCACGTCAGGAACCAGAAGCTAGCTGGCCACACCGGAAGTCTCCCTCCCTCCCGGAAGTCCCCCTCCCTCCCCTCTATCAGAGCCCTCGCTTCCTCCCGGAAGAACCCACACTGCTCAGTCCTCTTCTCTTGCGGCACTTCCTGTCAGCTCACTTTCTTGCCCTCCCTTATTGCTTTATCATCCAACTGTGCAACTCACAGAATGGTTTTGCTCTTTATTTACCTTTTAGGTTTCTTGTAATCTATTGATACCTTGTCCAATAAAAAAGTTTTCTCCCTGAAATTTATTTGTTGAAGCAAAAACCAAACACTGGTCTTTTCTTCCTGTAGTTTTCCATGATCTAGGATTTTTGCTGACATCATTTTTATGGTGTAGTTGAATGTAGTAAGCTGGCAATTGGATCTAGAGGCTGGATCAGAAGCACAATGCTTTTTGAGACAGTGTCTTGCTATGTAGTCCAGACTGGCATTGAACTCACTGTGTACCCTAGGCTGGCCTGGAACTTGTAGTAACCCCCCTGCCTCAGCCTCTGGAGTGCTGGGATTTCAGGCATGTGTCACCATGCCTTACAATTTTTTGTAAGACCGCTTCATAGGTTATTTCTTTCTTTATCAAGGAGCATAGATTGTCTGTTTTCCTCTCTTTTTATCGTATTCGTAGACATTGACTGTCATTGTCTGGATCCATCAACTTATTGGTGTTACAAAATGGTAATATTCCAATTCAGCCATTCCTTCTTCATTAATCTGTTGCAAGACTTCTAAAAAGAGAGAAACTTCCCCTCATGTACTGTTTTGTTACACAGTGGTACAGGTCACGTAGGAAAGGCAGGTGAATGCTTACTCTCTTCTTTTATTTGACATACTTTTGTTTCCTATCATCCTCAGGGGTGACCAAATTTTTTTTTTTTTTTGATACAGGGTCTTCCTGTGTAGTTCAGGCTGACCTTGAACTCATGGCAATCCTCTTGCCTCAGCCTCTCAAGTGCTGGGATCACAGGCGTGTGCCACCACGCCTTGCTTGTGTTTGTGTTTTAAAAGTATTATCATGAACTCTTAGGTTTGAGCATACTTGATTAGTTTCAGTTAAGTACAGTTGTCCTTTTTGAGGTTCAAACATCGTACCTTTAGATGGTAGGATTCTCTGTGTTGGCTCCAGAGTCTTAGGGCTCCCTTGCTACCTGGCAGGATGAGATGGGCTGAGTTTCTCTTGTGCACTTCATGGTTTAAGACGTGGGTGTCCAACCTTTTGGATTGTCTGGGCCACACTGAGAAATTATCTTGGACCTCATATAAAATATATGATATAATTAATGTGTGTAAGCAACAAACTTCTCTTATTTTCTATATTTTTATAACCTTTAAAAAATATATAATCTCTCTATTTTACTCGCCAAGTTGCATGAGCACTAGTAGCATTGGACACACGGGGTTTCAATGCCACTGTGGTGGCCTCAGGAGGCAGGGGTAGCACCATGCCACGCCCTCCCTACCCCGCTTTCTCTTGGTACCCACACAACCCATCCTGGGGCAGCATACACTCAAGTCATGTAAATGTCACAAGAAAATCACATAGCAGTGTTAACGTTCATGATCTTGTGGGGCTGCATTACTAGCTGTTCAGAGCCATGCGTGGCCGTCAAATTCCAAAGGTTGGGTGCACCTGCTCCAAGACTGGGAATCTGCCATTTATCTGAGAACTCCTGGCTTCTTGTAATTGGAAAAGGACACAGGACCTCGGTGCACTAGGAATGCTCATTGCTACTGGGGTGGTTATTGTTTCTGGGTCTTTTCTGTGAGCAGAATTGAGAAATACATCTGTCTCTTTAAAGGTAAAATCTCCCATGAGATAATAGTACTGACACTTTTAATTAAAATTCATGACCAAGGATGTTTTCTTCCTCAATATAAATGTTTTAAAGTAGAATACAGGGTTTATATGCAGTTTGTTACAAAGTTTAAATGAACACAGCTGGGTTTAACTCACAGTTCTAACTCCCAGTTCTCAGCCTTTTGCTTTGTTTTGTTGTTTTATTTTTGGTTCTGGGGATCAAACTCGGGACCTTGCACTTTCGAGGCAGGCAGCGGCACCACTGTAGTCTGTTTTGTTTTGTTTTCAGTGGACACGAGGCTTCATACCTCTCCCATCCATGTCCATGGCTAATTCTCTTGGGGACTTCTGACCCAATGTATACTAGGCTGTGGTGGGGCATGCATACTTGGAAAATCCTCCTTCACATTCCACCCCATGTCCCCAGCTCATAAGGTCCTGCCTCACCCGCCTCACCTGTCCCCAACACTGGGAGCATACCCAAGTCACCTGTGGCTTTTCTTGGCCTGCTGGGATGGCCCCTGCCCCATCTCTCCACCCTGCAGGGAGCCCCTCTGCGGGTGTAGGTAGTGCAGGTCCTTGTGGTTCTTCCACTGATTGCTGGCTGTGTGTGTCACAGAGCAGTACACGGTGACCGGGCTGATGGAAGCAACCCAGATGATGGTGGACATCGACGGGGATGTCCTCGTATTCCTGGAGCTGGCTCAGGTATCACGGCAAGGAAAGGCTCTTCTGCATTCTCACTGTGGGCTCTGTCTGCCTGCCCACTGGCTGTGAGTGGGGGGCTGGGAGGTGGTGGGCAGGAGGGGAGCCCATCGTCAGACTTGGCTCCCTAACTTGGAGAGCCATCTGCCAGTGCAGAAATTGAGCCCCTGAAGATTAGTGCATGACATCAGGACATGGCTGGGGACACTCCGAGGAGGGTTGGCACCCTGAACCTAGATGTCTGCATCTTCCTGCTGGGGAGAAGGAAGTTGTGTGGGGGAAGATTGCGGAGGGCAGGGGCAGTAGGACGCCACCCTTGGGCCACCGATATCATCAGTGCAACCGCCTGGGCAGGGCTGAAGCGAGGTGACAGAGGGCTTGGTGGCAGTGCCCAGGAGCCCAAGTCAGCAATGGTTCCGCTCAGTCCCGGGTGGGCTCGGCTTTGGGGCTGCAGGGCTCGGCCCACACCACACCAGCACTGCAGCTCTGAAGGCGACTCCGTCTATGTAGTTCCCCTGCACCTAGGGCTCTCAGCACAGACGCAGTTCTGTTCTGTCCCCAGTTCCACTGTGCGTACCAGTTGGCTGACTGGTGTCTCCACCACATCTGCACCAACTACAACAATGTGTGCCGCAAGTTCCCCCGAGACATGAAGGCCATGTCCCCAGGTGAGCATCTGGGGCCAGCCTGGCAGGACCTGCGGCTCCCACCTTGGGTTGAAGGGGCCTCAGTGTGAGGCCTCAGCTGGGACTTCACCCCAGGGGCCAGTGATCCTTGGGCCTCACTTGCCCTTGGTGGGGGGGAGGGGCCCAGGGAAAGTGCTGTCTCTAGGGCTGGGCAGCTGGGGGCCTTGGGCAGCTCACTCTACCTCTCTGGGCTCATTTCTCAGAGGGCATTGTTGAGAGCTGGTAGTTTTCAGACTCTCCTGGGTAGGGCACCACAGTGAGAAATACACTTGAAGCTGCAATCCAGTACACATATCGAAAAGCACATATGTTCTTTAAAATGCTGCTCATGACCCAGTACATCGGTTTCCCACAGCTGAGACCACTCAGGTCTGGGTCCCCTCTGCTTAGTTGATTTCTCAGGTCCTAGAGTCCAACACAAGCTGCAGGGGTTGCAGGGGGACGTATTGCCGGCCTCCTCAAAGGGTCTGCTAGTCTGTCCTCACGGGGCTCCGTCCTCTGCTCTGATCCTTCCCGGCTGTAGGGTGGTTGCCGCGCCCTCCCTGTTCTCCTTCTTTCCACCGCCCAGGTCCGATTGCATCACGCTCTGGTTCATGCCCTCTTCCCTGTCTCAAAACTGGATCTTGCTGCGGCACTGCCACCCGATTCCCCGGCACCTGGGATCTGGCCAGCAGCAACCTCACTGTCATTCCCTAGCCGTGCAGAGCCCCTTCCTTGTCTCCCTCCTTGGCCTCAGCCTGTTTTATTCCCAGCACAGGGTCCCTTAGTTTCTTTCTGTTTCGAGACAGGGTCTTGCCATGTAGTTTAGGCTGGCCTTGAACTCACTATGGAGCCCAGGATGGCCTTGAACTTGCTGTGATCCTCCTGCCTCAGCCTCCTCAGTGCTGGGATCACAGGCGTGTGCCACCAGTGTCCACTTGATTTACATTTTTTGAGTGATCACGGTGCAAATATGCACTCTGTAGAAAGTATACTTGGAGGGCCGGGGATTTAGCTCAGTGGTACTGCCACCTGCCTCGAAAGCGCCAGGTCCTGAGTTCAATCCCCGGTACCAAAAAAAAGAAAGTATACTTGGAGTTTGAAATAGGATCAAACTCTGACAGACCTCTCCAGTGAGGGTTGAGTTGGCTCCATGTAGAAACACCTGGAAAACATGTTTCCTGGGCTCCCGCGAGGTCCAGTCCTCTGCGTGGTCAGCAGCAGCAGCACCTCTGCCTCCCCGGCCAAGGATGACACTGCAGCGTGCTATGCTGCTAAGCGAGGGTGCCTGGTGGGCTGGGATTCAGTGCGTTTTCTCCGGGTGATGTCTCCCATTTAGGATGGGCTAATGGGGTGGGTGCATCACAGGTCGGGGAGGAGCCACACATGTGCTGTCTTCTCTAGGTCAGCGGAAGCACCTCTCCCGCCTTGGGGCCACCTGTCCTGGGCCTGGGTCTCCGTGTGCTCGATGCTGGCCCCGGCGCTGCCTCAGGATGGAAGTGTCTGCTCGGGCACCGCCTCGGCCCACGGCCTTGCGTCCCCTCACCCTTCTGCTAACCAATCCCCATGCCTTCCGCTTCAGAAAACCAGGAGTACTTCGAGAAGCACCGCTGGCCGCCCGTCTGGTACCTGAAGGAGGAGGACCACTACCAGCGGGCGCGAAAGGAGCGCGAGAAGGAGGACTACCTGCACCTGAAGCGGCAGCCCAAGCGGCGCTGGCTGTTCTGGAACAGCCCCTCCTCCCCGTCCTCCTCGGCTGCCAGCTCAGCATCCCCATCCTCCTCCTCCTCCTCGGCCGTGGTCTGAGATGCTGCCACCCTCTTCCGACCCTGCTGCTGTCGTCCCGTTTGCCCTTGCCCCTGTGCTCTCAGCATCACCCCGTCACCCAACAGGGACGAGGGGACCCACCTACCAGGACCCTAAGGGCAGAGCTGTTGTCACCAGTCAGCTCGGCTTAGGAGCTGCCCTTCCTCAGAACAGGGCCACCCACAGGGGCCCCGGGGTCCAGGCGGTGCAGGGTCCCTGCTGGGAAGTGGAGGGACAGGGCTCCCAGCAGGAGGCCCTGCCTGTGTGTCTGTCCCTGCGCTGGCCAGGGAGGCAGCCCCCCTCCCAGAGAGCAGCGAGGGTCCTGCCTCTGCTGGCCGTGTCTTTCCATCCGTGGACTTGAGGTGGCAAATGTTTCGTGGGCATTTCTACATGGAACACACTCAGATCCTCACTGGAGAAGTCAGGGTAGAAATTCACCTTTCAAAGCCCAGCTCCAGATGTCTTCATCCTGGGATGCAGCTGCAAGAGACCAGCGCATGCAAACCCTGCCAGTGTCCCTCGAGGGCCGCAGGCAGTGCGGGCCTGATGGCAGGTGGCAGAGGTGGCCCGAGGTCCAGGCCTGGAGTCGGGGCCTCATGGTGCGATGAGAAACTTCTCCTCCCCCTCCTGCATGCCTCAGATTTGGAGATGGAGCCAAAGGAAGCAGCTGGCATGGGGGAGAAGGAGGAAGGGGTGGGGTTTGTCCAAAGCAATTCCTTGCACCTCTGGGGCCCTGCCCCTGCCCCTGCCCCTCAGTAGCACTGCTTTTTATGGGGTGGGGAAAAATTAGCAAAAATGACTCCCAACAACAAAGGAAGGAAAACCAAACTCAAAAGAAGATCACCACCAACAAATACACTTATCTCCCCAAAGAATGAAATCAGAGAAAAGGCCCTGGAGAGCTTATGCTTCAATAAACCCAGACAGAAGCCCCCAGGATGAGGAGACAAAAGGTTCAGTCACACCATCACCTCTGACCCCGTGTAGGATGGGGCCTGTCACCTTCTGCGGCCGGCTGAGGATGCCCTGGCCTTGCGGGCTGCCCTCAGGGAATTCCAGCTCCAGGCCTGCAGCTTGCTGGGACAAGCCGTGGGGTCGGAGGGGAGGGCTTCGGTCTAAGGGCTCGAGCAGCACTGGACTCTTCGTATCCTGAAGGTGACCTCACAGGACGTTCACTGGGATGCGCTGGGTGGGTGGCAGGGGTCGGATGTCAGGGGAAAGGACAGAGCAGGAGAACAGGCGTCTCCTGTAATGAAGGCTCAAGGACAGAGCCTGGTCCAGTCCTGGTGTAGGCTAAAGGGAGGGAGAAAACCAGGTGGTTGAACAGGAGAAATTCAGAGAGGACTCAAATAGCTTTGCCCAGGGCACAAAAAGCTGGGCCTCAGTTGACCTTTTCCCTGTTTCCTAACCCTGACCCATACTTCACCACCCCTCCCCTCACACCCCTGGGATGGGCTCCTGCTGAAGAGGGCCCCAGTCAGGAGGCAGTGGGCATGTGAAGATGCTTTAGGAGGAGGGACGGCTAGGCACCGGGGATGGGCTGGTTAGGTCGGATAGACCGCCCGGAAACAAGGTGACTCTGCGATAAATATGGTGTCAAGACCTGGAGCTCTGAGGCTGAATCCTCATCAGGCATTGGAGGTCAAGCAGGTCTAAAGTTGGGGTGAAGCCCTTGTTTTCTGAGCTGGGAGCTTCCAAGTCCTCCAGGTTGGCTGGCTGGGAAGCCAGTCACATGCTGCCCTCTGCTGGTTAGTCAGATTTCCTGCATCTGGGCTCTGCCCATGGCTTCCAAAGCAAGGCTCAGCCTCTGCTTTTGAGAAGGGAGCATCCAGGAGACCAGGGCAGCACCCTCCCTCCAGCAAGGGGACAGAGTTGAAGGCACACACGGGCCTCCCAGGAACTGAAGGCCCTAGAGAGCAAGGGGAATTGGTCTCCTAGGAGCCTGCAGGGCTTAGTACCTGGGGCTACTGCGGTTGGACAGGCTGGCGGGGACAGAAAGGAGCCCACAGGAGAGCGCCACGAGATCCCCGCACCCCAGGCCCACACACTCCTCAGGGACCCACCGCCCTTCCCCACAGCTCCGCCAGAGCCAGTGTGCACCCCAGAGAAACCACCCCAGCAGACTGTGGGGGAGCCAGGCTGGAGAGGGCCGGGGAGGTGTGAGTTCCAGTCCCCTAGGGACTGGTGCTCCGGATTCCAGGAGGCAGAAAGAGGAAGCAGCCCGTGCAGGACAAGGCCCAGGCACACAGCGGAGGAAGGAAAGGGGCGGATCACACAGCGAGAACACTCCCCGGGACTCCTCACGCTCAGAGCTGTTTCTGAGAATGGGAGGATGGGGCCAAAAAACAAAAACCCACACCTCTTTTTATATAAGGTTTCATATTTAATTTGGTCATCAATTCATAAATACATACATATTTTGTACCAAATCATTCTGTGTTATTTAATACCGCCAATACGTTTCTGATAGAAGCACAAGAGCAAAACAACACCGGTCCGCTCCTGACGGCATACAGAACGCAAGGGAAGCCGTGTCCATGCTCGCAGAATGCTTTATTGAAAGGACACTTTCATCCCACACTGACGATGGGCTGGGGATTTAGCTTAGTGGCACCTCGCCTACCTCACAAACGCAAGGGCAAGGTCCTGAGTTTGATCCCCGGTACCGGAGTAAATACTGACGAGGCGGAAGTCCTCTAGAAAAGGATTGGAGATCTAAACCAGGTTAGCTACCTCTGAGATGTGGAGACCAGCATCTCAAGGAGCAGCCAACGATGGCCTGCAGGCAGGAAAGCCCTGCAGCTACCAGGAACACGGGGGACCCCGGACGAGAGAAAGACAGACATACTCCACGAGCAGTTCATCCTGAGTGTGTAAGTAGCTTTGGTTTAGTCAACCAGCTGTGGATCAACACAACACGTAATCCCTGGAGGTGGGAAAGGCAATAGACTCCAGACCCTGGGACCTGCCGTCTTCACAAAATTGTCCTGTCATGGCTGGGATACTATGGAGAAAGTTTTGATGGAAGGATAGCTGAATAATGAGGACTTAAAAATAGAGCTGGGTGTGGTGGGGCACACCTGTAATACTAACACTCGAGAGGTTAAGGTAGGAAGATCACTGAGCTCAAGGCCAGCCTGGGCTACAAAGTGAGTCCCTGTCCCAACAACAGCAATAAAAATAAGGGTAGCATGCGTTTGCAGTCCCAGCTCTCTGGGAGGCTGAGGCAGAAGCATCACAAGTTTGAGCCCAGCCTGAGCAACATAGAGAGCTTAGTGAGACAGTGGCTTAATATATAAAATTTTTAAACAGGATGGGGATGTAGCTCTGTGCAAAGGCCCTGGGTTCAGTTCCTAATACTAATAATAAATAAGAAGAACTGAACAGAAAGCCACACAGGATAAAATCCAAATGTGTCAGCCATCCTGCCTCGTCGTCACAGCATTTAGGAATCAATTACAAAGTAGTGAGATGCTTACAGAGGGTGATGGTCCCCGAAGAGGGACTCCACACCCCTAAATACAGCTCTGGGGGCTTAGATTTACCAGAGGTGAGAGGTACCATCCAGTCCTAAGCAGGCAAATGTGTCACATTCACAGACCCAAGACCACGGCAGGTGTCAGGGACAGATATGAGTGAGAACTGGAACCTAAAGAGGGAAGGGGGATTTTGCTCTTCCTCTCTTTTGGATTTCTCACTCTATGAATGATATGTCCACTTCAGTAATAAATGTAAACAATTCAGGAATCATATTACCAAATGTGTTCGTTTTCAAAAAATAGTAAAATAAAAAAAACACATAAATTTACATCAATATAAATATAACCTTACTAGGCTCCAGAAATAGGCCAAGCATGGTGTCCTTAAAATATCTATATACAAAACACCATACTAAAAAAGTTCCTTCACATCAATGACTCAATCTTCTTGATAGATGAAATTCCCAGAGTTCACTGCATATTCCGCAATCTTTTCCCCAGCAAGTGTCTGTCCTAGTTTCTCCAAGGCACCCAGGAGTGTGTTGATGGATGCATTGCGCCCTGTTTTATACAGCCACTTCTGGAGCATTTCATATAGGGGATCAGATGGTCTGCTGACTTTGGCGAGGTAGATCTCATTGGGCGTGAGGCCCATCTCCTGCATGAGCTGGTCCCAGGAGTTATGATGCACGACATCCGTACAGTAAGTGAAAAGCCTCCTCAGTGCTAGAATGGAGAAATGTGGACAGTCGAGCTCAGAGCACTTCACAAGGGCAGAAGATCCTAAATCAGATCTAGAACCCAAGTGTGGAAACTAATAAGCTCCCTAGGTCCATGAAACTGCTGCTTCAACATCCCAACTGCTTCTATCACAATGCCTAGGCCTCACCCACACGCAGGACGCTGGGGAGGGCAGCGCACACAAAGGCTCCTGCCTTGGGGGAGGCCGCACTGACATTAGGAGAAGGAAAGTACTGTGGGGTGTGGCACAGAGAGGCACAGGCTCTCAGGGGGCTCTCAGGGGACGAAAACTGCATAGGCTGTGTTCATCATGAGTAGGGGAGGGTGTGTCTATGCCAAGTACAGGACTCGAGGTAAAGGATCTGTGGTTGCTGCCCAGCCTGGCCTCTTTCACTGCCACTGGGGCACAGATGGATGGAAGCAAATGGACTCAGAGTGACAAGTGAACTTGTAGGAGTCACCACTGTACTTGGCTCATGAGGTCATGGTGGAGCAAAGGAGATGTGTGAGAATACATGGCACACTGGGTCCTAAGCAGCAGAAGGGGACGGCACACTGGGTCCTAAGCAGCAGAAGGGGACGGCACACTGGGTCCTAAGCAGCAGAAGGGGATGGCACACTGGATCCTAAGCAGCAGATGGGCTAATGTTCTTTCTTTTCTCCCCCTCCCTTTCTTCCTTTTTTTTTGAAACTAGAAATCCTCCTGTCTCAGCCTCCTAAATCCTAAGACGTCAAGTGTGCACCACCATGCCCAGCTCAAGGAGCTGATGCCTTCTAACAGCCTCATTCAGTAGAAGAGGAAACAAATGGTATTCATTTTGATAAGACATTTTACTTAATTCAATATATATAAAATTGTATCATTCCATCATGTAATCAATATTCAAAAAATTATCCATGAGATAGTTTCCATTCTTTTTTTGTATCAAGTCTTTGAAATCTGGTTTGTGGTTTATACTGCAGCTCATGAAACCGGGCCTGGCCTCAGGTCAGGTGCTCTGAGCCACCTGGGGATAGTGGGTGATGATGGTGTAGCCCCCTATGAGACCCTGGCAGGAGATACACTACAAAGGGGCAAGGAGGAAGTGGGAGAGGGGAGGCTAGAGAGGTGCACATAGTGTGAGGGGTTGGGGGTGCCCCAATGGGGGCAAAAAGGGGGGAGCAGGGTCCTGTGATTCTCAAAGCCCAGTGATGAGCGCCAGGATCCTCTGCCTCTGTCAGGAACTGCCCTGGTGGAGCCCCATCTGCTATGGGGACAGCAGGAGGATGCTGCTCCCATCCCCAGACTCCCACAAAACACTTACCCTCGCTGGGGTCAACACCGCTCGCTGGGACCAGTGGCTTTCTTCCCATGGAAGACCTCTTTGCTTCTGCAGGTCCCTGCTACAGACAGTAAAGATGTCCTGGTCAGAGTCAGGGGACCGGGGTTTGAGGCCTGATCCTGACAACCGCCAGCCTTGAGACCAGGGGTCCTCACTTCTCTTCTGGGGTCTCCATGGAGACACAGATAAACCTCCTGGGAGTGGCTCTCAGGCTCTCCTGTGTACTCACTCCAGTCAGATGGAATATTCCCACTGCCTCCAGCAGGGGGCAGTCACCTCACAGGCTCCCCACCCCAACCCGCGGGGCCCCCTCCAGTGGTGCCATGGATGGAACCTAGGACTTCACATGTGTTTGGCAAGGGGTCTACCACTGAGCTAAAGCACTAGCTTTTTATGAGACTCAGCAGAAGACTGTGTAAGATGACACTCTGAAAAATCCAAAGTGAAGGTTTATTTCAAGAAGGTGAAGTGTTTTCATCAATCATAATGTCTCATGTCAATAGTCTATAAATAAGGAAATGAAAGCATCAACAGTCACCACAGAGGCCAGAAAGATTAAACACCAATTCTGATTTATAAAAACAGCCTTGAATATAAAGGCATATCTCTAAGGAAGAGGATGTCTATAAGGGAAAAAGCCATCAGTCACAGTGGTGACACACTAGAGGCCTTCCTGACAAGGTCCGAGCCAGACTAAAATCCTCGCTTTCTGCAAGCATTGTTTTCGTTGCTTGTTTGTTTAGTTTGTGCAGTGCCAGGATGAACCCAGGGCCTCCTGCATGGCAGGCAAGCTCTGTACCGCGAGCACCTCCCTGGCCCTCTAAGCATTGCCCACCATTGTTCTGAGAATTCTGTGCAGCAGGAAGAACACCAGAAACAGGAAGCAGGATTCTTGGAACAGAGCGGAAAAAGGAGGCATTGTGTTAGTTATGTTTATGCACTTGAAAAACCCTAAAGTTTAAGCAATAAGGAAAGGTGAGTAAAACTCTGGGTGAATGTTTAAAAATGTAGTAGCAACAATAAACTAGAAAATGTACTTAAAAGAGGATCAAATTTATAAAGGCTTTAAAACACCTAAGTACAAAGGAAAGAGCAGTCAAGAAATAAGAATCACTAATCTGTAGGAAAATCTTAATTTAGTTGTAATAAAATACTTGTCTTGAAATTTTCAATTAGTATTTTGGACATGGAGAAAATAATAAATGAATTCCAGATTTTGTCTAGGTGAAAGTATAAGTTTTGAAAAACTAAGGTAGAGGTATTTGCTCTATTACTAAACCATATTGGAGAGTTTCATTGTATAGAAAATTACTATGTATAATGGAATGTCTTTTAGGTAAATAAAATATATAAATATGTAGATATGCATTAAGACAGAGAAAGGACAGACAATCTAGCTCAGTAGTAGGGTGCTTGGCTAGTATGCATGAGGCCCTGGGTTCAATTCCTAGCAGTGTCAAAAAGAAAAAGAGAGAAAGAAAGAAAAGTAAGATTTAGAGAAAGAATCACAGGAAATGATCTGTCATAGTTATCTTGGGGCTGATGAGCAGAGGAGGATGCTTTTATTATTTATTTGAGCCCCTTTCTACACTGTTTAAATTCTTCACTTTGGCCGGGGATTTAGCTCAGTAGTTCCGCCACCTGCCTTGCAAGCAGAAGGACCCAAGTTCGATCCCCGGTACCAAAAAAAAAAAAAAAAAGTAAATTTCTCACATTGAATAGGTATTAATCTCTTTCTAAAACTCTCAAATCACTTAATCAAACTGGAGGGATTACTGGCATTTTTAATGTTTCCTTTCTGTTTTCACTTTCTCTTTGTTAAATAAAGACTGGATGAATCCTTGACCTGTGATTAAGAAGGGACCAAAAGCAGAAGGAAATGGCTAAATGCAATTAGGAAAGGCAGACTTGGAACAATTCAAGGAGCCCTTCACTTTGTATCACATTGCAAAATAAACTTCCCTCAGATTATATAGACATATGCAAAAATGAATCCTTGAAAAACACTAGAGCAATTCATTTTAGGTTGGGGAAAGACCTTTCTGAAGCTGATGAGTAAAAAAAAATCAAATGTTTCTATCGATTTCACTAACAATGAAAATTTCCCTAACAAATCCGTCAAGAAGTTAGGAGTCTGTTATTGGTACAGAAGAAAATGCACGAGCAGGAGAACACATCTTGTCACACAGACCTCAGTGAACTGACACACCAATCATATTTGCAAAAATAGCCCAAACCAAACAATGCACCTTTGAGACAATGTTTTCCTAAATAGCAAACGACAACAAAAGTGTACAATGTCAGATCAAAATACATGAACTGATGTGAACCATCCAAAATGAGAGTGTGTGTGTGTGTGTGTGTGTGTACAGTGAATGGCACTTCTACACGTTGACTTAGAAATTCTACTTCTTGCAAACACAGTCAAACCACTGGACAAAGATTTATTTCCAAACATGTCAACGTAATAATCATCTTGGGGTGGATTGCAAATGCCTGATATTAGGAAGAAAGACTCACTAAGTCCTAGGACAAAGCTCATCCCTCATTCAATCAGCAACAAACACCTCTGTACCCACTCTGTGCCTGCACTGCTCCAGGACTCAGGGGTGGGGGCATAGCACGAACATGAAGAGACTCAGAAGTGGAAGTTCACGGAGTGGCTCTGTCACTGCACGGAGCCCCAAGCAGCCCTGTCCGGCCGGGTCAGTCCTCGCCTCTCTGTCCCCACTTCCCTTGTGCCAGGAGATCCGATGACTCGTCCCTCTCCCTCTGCCTGTGGCCCAGCACCACCACCTATCCCCTACTCACCAGCAGACGGTCTGTCTCCCCTGGGCACTGTTCAGGGACACCAGTCACAACCTGTTCTTGTCGCTCAATTTCATGCTCATCATGCTCAAGGGAAGATGAGGGGACTACGTAGCTGAGGACCTCATTGCGGTCATTGTCCTGAGCTTCAGACCCTCTTGAGGGTTTTGGGGGGTTAATGAGGACCTTGGGAATACAGAGAGGCCACTCAGGAGTCCACGTCCAGCTCTCCCTAAAGGGCCCCCGCCGCGTCCCACTGCACCTACCCCAGGCCACCACGGCTCAGACAGCCACAATCTTCTGCTGGCACTGTGATCCCAGTGTCATGCCCAGGTGGGGCCACCACCCTTCCTGGACTCACCCCCAGGGGCAAGGCAGTGGCGTGAGGGTGTCTCCCAGCCAGCGGGGGGAACAGGGTCACACTGGGCTGTGGGGAGCTCAAAATGGCCATTTGCCCCTGACCATTGGCCCGGGGCCTGGGCTGATTTGGAGAGAGCTGTGACAGCGGCACAGGACAGATGGGGATGGGTCCTCTCCAGGTGACGTCTCAGCTGGAAGTAGTTCCTGAGCCCCCACCCGGAGGCCCAGGAAGAGCCAACTCACTCCATTCCCAAGCTTGGAGTCCTGTTCACAGCCCGGAAGAGGAGAGGATCTCCTCGGTGAGGAGGCAGAGGGTTTCTGCTGTAACTCCTCCCTGGAGGTCCTGGACTTCAGACACTGGACAAGATACTGGGTGCTGGGACACCCTTGGGAGGAAGAAGAGAGGGGACAAAAGTAACCAGGGGCCCAATCCTTGAATGGCCCTGCTCTGACCAGCACCATCTAAGTCAGTGTGGTGGTGCACACCTGTAATCCCAGCCCTCAGGAAGTTGAAGCAGAAGGTTCGCCGTGAGTTCAAAGCCAGCCTATGCTGCACAGTGAGTTCAAGGGCAGCCTGAATTACACAGTGAGAACCTGTCTCATAACACACACACACACACACACACACACACAAACACATGCATGTGCACATGCGCGCGCATGCGCAAGCTGTTTTAATGTCATCACTTCTCGCCCTGTCCAAATGCTCATGCCTCTCTGTCTTGGCTGGGCCCTGCCCTCCTAAATTGGGCTGGGAGATGAGGTCACCATCAGCCTCAAGAGATGGACTGGTTAGCCGGGCATGGTGGTGCACACCTGAATCTCACAGGCAGGAAGATCACCTTGAGTTCAAGGACAGCTTGGGCTAAACAGTGAGTTCAAGACCAGCCTCACCTACATAGTAACTGACACCCTGTCTCAAAAAACAAAATGAGAGAGAGAGAGAGAGAGAGAGAGAGAGAGACTGGTAAGATCCTGGAGTGTGAGGTGCCAGGGAGGTGGAAGATGGTAGGATACTTAGAGGAAAAGAAGAGAGGGCCAGGGCAGGAGAACACAGGCCAGGAGGGGCATTGCTGTGTGGGAACAGAGCCAGATGGGGAGGGGCCGCCACTTACTTGAAAAGATGCTCCTCTGGCCACAAAGTCTCCACCACCCAGTCTTCCAAACAAACACAGCCCCAGCCAACAGCAGGACTATAGCAATTGTAACGCTGATCACTATGCGTTCCCAGTCTACGGAAGGACAAGGAGAGGCTGGAGTCCCCGGACTGCTGGTCACTGGCTCTCCAGGAGCTGGGGCTTCCTCAGTGGTCTTGGTACCTGACTCTTTGTCCATACACTTGAGGTCACTCCAGGGGGTACAGGGACTCGCCATCACCTTCCCATCCGGGCACCTGGGTACACACAGGGAGGAAACGATGGGCTTCTGTGAAGGAAGGCAGCCATGTGCACAAGAGGGAGCCACCCTTCCTGCCCAAGGTCCAGAGAAGGCGCCAGCGGAAGGACAGGCTCCTCATGCCTCCAGGTGTCCCTCAAACTCGCCCTAAGTCTGGGGAAGGCCCTCCCCGCTCTGTGCGCCTCCTCTTCAGGTGTGAACGGCATCCCTGGGCTGAAAGAGGTAGTCAGGAGCCTGTGTGGCCACTGCCAACCTTCAGTACATTTAACCTCTCATCCTCTGTCTGGCCTTCCTCCCGATCACAGCAAACGCCAGGGGCTGGACAAGATTAACTACCGGCCTGGCCCCTAAACCCTCAAGGAGCAGCACAACATATTTTTTTCTGTAGATTATATCCTTTAAGGATTTTCTCTCCACATTTCTTTTGTCCCCAGTTTTTTTTGTTTTTTTTGTTTTTGTACTGGGGATAGAACTCAGGACCTTGTGCTTGCAAGGCAGGCACGGTGCCCCTGAGCTACATCCCCAGCCCCATCCCACATTTCTTATTAGTGTATATTGGCTATACAAATTAATGAGTTTCATTTTGGCAGATCTGAACATGTACCTAACCGACTTTAATCATCCCTTATCCCCTCCCTCACTTTCCCTCTAGTTGGACATGTATTTCGGGGGGTCAGCCAATGGGTATGATGTATTCTGATCATATTCATGTCACCTGTTATACACCTTTACACTCTCTTCTCCTCCCTTCTTCCCTTCCTCCTGTCTAATAATAGACTCCGTTCTGCTTTTTTGTCATCTTTTTTAGAATCCACATATCAGGGAGAACATGCTATATTTGTCTTTCTGAGTCTAGCTTATTCCTCTCAACATGATGATCTCCAGATCCATCTATTTTTTTTTTTTTGGCAAATGACAAAATTTTGTTCTGTTTTCAGTTTAATAATACTCCATTGTGTATATCCATTCATCAGCTAATGGGCACCTAAGCTGTTCCCATATCTTGTCTATTGTAAATTATGTTGCTTTGGTATACAGGTATTCCTATGATGTGCTGACTTTAATTCCTTTGGGTATATACCCAAGAGTGGTATAGCTGGACCAAATGATAATTTTATTCTTAGTGTTTTTAAGAACTTCCATATTGATTTCCATAGTGGTTGTACTAATTTACATCCCAGTACCTTTACCTTTAGCATTTATTTTATTATTATTATTGTCAATGTTTTTATATTCTTATATCTGAATTTTTTTTTGTACCAGGGATTGAACTCAGGACCTTGAACTTGTGAGGCAGGCGGCAATGTTTTTATATTCTTGATGCTAGCCATTCTGACTGGGGCAAGACTGGTCTAGGTGTCTATGCTGTTTTTGTGACTATGACTGTGTAGTATAATTTTAAATCAGGTATTATGATACCTCCAGTCTTGCTCTTACTGCTTAGGATTGCTTCAGCTACTCTGGGTCTTTCGTGTTTCCTTGTGAATCTTAGGATTTTTTGGTTCTATTTCTCCATTGGTATTTTGATGGAGATTGCACTGAATCTGCAGATCACTTTGGGCTGACACTTCAACAGTATTAATTCTGCCAGCCCATGAGCATGGGAGGTCTTTCCATCTCCTAGGGTCTTCTTCAACTTCTTTTAGTGTTCTGAAATTTTCATGATAGAGGTCTTTCACTTTGGTTAGAATGATCCCTGGGCATTTTATTACTTTTTGAAGCTATTGTGAATGAAATTGTTTTCTGATTTCTTTCTCAGCTAGTCATTAAGGTACATAGAAAAGCCACTGATTTTGACATTAATTTTATATCCAGCTAATTTGCAGAAGTTGCTTACCAGCTCTAAAAGTCTTTGGTGGAATCTTTAAGGTCTTCTAAGTATAGAAGGATCAGAAGTGTGGGGTGAGGCTAGCCAAGGCGGCTCTAGTCTTACTATCCCTTTTGTGGATTTTGTGGGGTATAGACACTTTTGTCTTCCTAAGCCCCTGTCTGCACAAGAAAGGACTAAAACATTACATTGTATCATTGACGTGGTATATAAATGAGTATAATCCTGGCTATATTCTACTCATCCTTCTGTTTTCATAGGGAATTAAATCATGTCCTGGGGTCCTCACTGAACAAGCCACCTGGCCAAGGGGAAAATGGAAAAGCCCGAGGTGGGGGGGACCACACAGATGGACCGGGAAGGGCCACCGCAGGCTCAGGAGGCCTCAGTGGTACAGGGATGCCCGGTGGCAGTGGGAGATCTGTCGGGTCAAGAAAGAGAAAGAGGTACAAGGAAATTCATGTCTTCTGTGGGTTCCCTTGGGCCACGGGGAGCCCCAGTTTCTGCATCTTACCTGGTCTGGCATCTCTGGCAGAATTCTGGGGATCCCTCTGACCGGAAGGTGCCATTCTTACAGTAGCACACTGTGTTTGTGGTCCTGTTGCAGGAATATTTCTGTGTTTCTTCTGGAGATAAAGGAAAAGTTTTGGAGGATGAGTTTCCCTGGTTACCCCAATGTCCTTCCTCCCATTCAGCTCCACTGAGTTTATGAAGTAATTGTGAGTGCCAGTTTCTGCAGCAACACACCTAGGCACAGAGAGGAGGGTCCCCTCAGCTGTCACAGACCTCTGCAAAGCCTGCCTCTGGGGAAGCCGAGGAGGGCACTGGGGACATGAAGGCTGAGAGCACTCCACGTTCCAGGAGCTGGAGCCTGGCTGAGGACCAGACCCCAGTTCCCCTGACAACCAGCCTTCTCCTGCACAGCCATGCCATTTTCTTATGCTACAGACCCCACAGCTTTAGTGGGGAGATGAATCTGGGCTTTTTGTGGGAGGTTCTCCAAGGAGAGGCCTAAGGCCAGTGCAGGTCTGACCCATACAGAGATAAAACTGCCTATGTTGGGTCAGAACCGAACACAGTGTGTCCCCTTGCTCAGAGTGGCCTGGTCTCTTCCACTCCTCCTTCACTCTTCCCTCTTCCATCACAGGGATCGCAGTCAAATGCAAAGCAGACTACTGCTTAGCAGCACACAGGAGCCTAGTGCCAGAGCCAGGGCCAAGTCAGGCACGACTCTGACTCTGGCAGGGGTAGGGCTCTTCTTCACTCTGTCCTACAGCTTCTGCTGCGATGTTCCTCCCTCTGCAACCTGAATCCTTGCGCCCACCCTTCAAGGTGCAGTTCCATATGCCCTGGTCTCAGGGCGCTGCCCTCCCTGTGGCTGGGCTCCCTGCTGAGTCACCGTGGGCCCATGGCGGCCTCCAGGGAGTGTTCTTACACAGCAGGCCCCAGTGACTCACTGCCCGCTCCTGGGTGCCACCTGCAAGTTCAGAGGGTAGCAGCAACCGTCCAGGAAATGAAGCTGAGAGCAGTGGACTGGCCCAACCACAAGGGGCAGATCCATCTCCCACTCCTCCCAAGGGGTGGGTTAAATGACTTTCTTAAAAAGTGGCCTGCACCCTACAATAAACGTTCACTGTCTGTAAATTTTCTTTTATTGACTTAGAGAATTGTGAACAGGGTGTTAGGGTGAAGACAAGCCGGGCTGGAATGGGGCTCTCCGAGTCCACATCAGCTACATCCCCACACCCGCCTCAGGACCCCCTTGCTGGGTACCTTGGGCACAGACCCTGCAGGGGATGCAGGCTGGGAGGTTATTGGAGTAGCTGGTATAGTCCACCCCCTCTTCACATTCTTCACACTGTCCACTTTTTTCTGACAGGTAGGAACCTGAGCAGGGATAGAAAGCTGGTGAGCAAACCTTTACAGGATTCCCAGAGCTGGCGGTGGTGACTGGCGGGAGGGACCTCATCTTTGGGCCACCGGTGGAATACAGACGGGGAATAACGCTCGGGCCGGCCTTGGTCAGAACCCTGGTTCACATCTGCTATACCCCTTACCCACCCCTACCCAGGGAAGAGTACCAGGCATGCCTGAAACTCAAAAATGCATAGTACCAAGTGTAAAAAGAATAAGGCTAAATTAAATTCTTATTGTTTTGAGACAGGGTCTCGCTATGTATTCCAGGATGGCCAAGCCTCAGCCTCCCGATGGCTGGAACCACAGGTGTGAACTGCCACATCCAGCTTTAAAGTCAGACTAACTTTGACAATGTGCTCTTGGACCTAAAATATCCAAAATATTATCCTGTCAACATGTAATCAATATAAAACATATATGTACTAGGAATAAAACCCAGGGCCTTAGTGCTAGGCTATATCCCAGACCTTCGAATTTTTATTTTTAATTAATTTTTAATGCTTAATTAACTCATTTTTATTTTTAATTTTTGTTTGTGGGGGAATGGGATAAAATAAAATAAAATTTACTAAAACTTTTTTGTGACACTAAGGGTTGAATCCAAGGGTCACACTAGGGGTCTTCACACTGAGCTACATTTTCTTTCCTTTCCTTTCCTTTTATTTTATTTTATTTTTTGAGACAGGGTCTGGCTAAGTGGCTAAGCTGCCTGCACCACCATGCCTGGCTTACTTTTATTAGTTTATTAATACTAAATCTTTGAACTCCAGAGTGTATTTTCACTCCCAACATATTGATAACCTAGTGTTCCACTTAAGGCACCGGAAAAAGAAGTGGAAACTAAAGGTCAAGCAAGCAAGAAGGAAATAGATTAGAACAGATATCAACGAAACAGAGTATAAAAATCGAGAAAATTAAAAAGACCAAAAACTTGTTCTCTGAACAGATCAACAAATTGACAAATTGACAACAGTGAGATGTGGGGGAAGGGCCTCAAATTATTAGAATCTGAAATAAAAGCAAAGGCATTACTACTGACTTCACAGGAAGGACTGACTCTCTATATGGCCACAAATTCAGTAACTTCAATGAACTTCAATTCCTAGAAAGACACAAACTACTGAAACCAACTCCAGATGAAACGCAGTCTGGCAGCCCTTCCCCTTGGGCTTCCGGGCAGGGGTCCTGGAGGACACTGCAGTGGCAGGCAGTATGGCAGCCCCGGAGGGCCCAGGCGGTGGCTGAAGCAAGGTACAGGATCCATGGTCACCAGTAGGTGGGGAAGCTGTGCTCACAGCCAGGAGAGGACAACTGATCCTCCTCCCCTGCCACACTCATGCAGACTGAGGAGACCAAGGCCCAGATGGAGGGGGAAAGGGCTTGCACAGCTTCTTCAGCAAGAGACACAAAGAGGAAGGCGCGGTATGGCGAGTGGGGGTGGGGCTGTCACCAAGGCTTTGACTACAGTAGATGACTTCAGGGAGTTGACTGCACCAGACTCTGGGTTCAGGTGCTGTGAGTAAGCGAGAGGGAAGACAACCATGATGAGGACTAAGAGGACAAGAGAGAAAATTCCGGGCTTAACTGGGAAGAAGGCGAGGCCAAATCTGCAGGTCCCAGGGACACAACAGCTTGCAGACCGCAAAGTGCCTTCTGCCCCAGGGACTGACAGCTACAGTCTCCTGGGGCCAGGCCAACCACACAAAGGAGACACAGCGGACTTGTGTGCAGAAATGGAGTTTGGGGCTAGGTGTCACAGCGGCACCCCTGTAATCACTCGGGAGACTGAGGCAGGAGGATTGCTGAAAGTTGGAGGCCAGCCTGAACTAATAGCGAGACCCTGTCTCGAAAAAAACAAAAAGAAAAAAGAAAAAGAAAATCAGAAAGGCAGTCACACCCAACACAATTACAGAACAGACTTCAGTGTACTGTGGAAGTTTCCAGTGGTGCCCACTGCTCCTTCCTCATATTGCATTTAGGGGAATTTTTGAGGTCAGAGACATGTGTGAACTAGAATCAGCAGCATTCTTTCCTGGTTACTCTGTCAAAAAGCTTGCAGGGAGAAAAAAAAAAAAGGCTTGTAGCGTGCAGCATTCTTTCATAATTACTTTGCAAATACAGAAAATCAAATCCCTGGCTGTGGTGGTGCATATTTGTAATATCCCAGCACTCTGAAAGGCTAAGGCAGGAGGAATGTAAATTGAAGCCCTGCCTGAGCAACTTAGCAATACTTTGTCTCAAAATAAGAAATGAAAAAGGGCTCAGGGTGTAGCTCAGTGCAAAGGCCCTGCATTCAATCTCTAGTACTGCAAAACAAAAAAAGAAAAAAATAATAATAGGAATCCTATAGCCAGCATCATGTCTAAACCATTTTATGTTCAGACATTGCACCTTCATAAGGGCTGACCACCTGATTTTGCTGCACTTACTAAGGACTTCATGTGGCTCACAATGTCCGGCTCAGAAGGTTCAAGGGTTAGTCTGAAGTCTCCTAGAAGAAATCCAGCAGAAAGTCCGCCATCTGGACTCTGATCTGCTGCACAAAGTGAAGTTCTGTGTCCTCTTATTTAACCTGTCCCATGCCCCAGTGTAAAGCATAGTCCATGTAGTAGGATGTGGCTGTATTAGACTTCCTGATATCAAAAGAGCTGTGTGTTCACATCCTCTGGGATTTACAACTTAATTTGGGTTGTAGTCTGATGTCACCACAATTTTTTTTTAAATATCCTTTTATTGGTACATTTTAGGTATACAGTATAATGACATTCATCATTGGAGATATGCACCTTTACATACTCTCTTGGTTCTATTTTTTCCCCCTTCCCCTGCCCTCCTGTCACCACAAATTATATTCACCTGTACTTGGATCCAGCACAGGAGAAGGGAGCAGGAGGGAGGGAGCACTCTTGTTTCTTTTAGTCATTGTTTTATTTGGATAATGTTTTTGTGTTCCACATTAAGATCTGTTTTGCTTTGCCATAGAATAAATTCCTTGACAGAATATATTGCCTGGTTAAATAAGTAACCTGATATATGCACTAGAATTGGGAAATGTTTGCCAGTCACTAGGGTGGAACCAAACAGCCTTTCTTTGATCTGCAGGACAGGGGTGCCGCAGGCTCTCTAGGTGCTGCTAGAGCTTTGGCTAGTCAGGTCCAAACTGTACTGGAAACTGCTAGTGCAAGAGGATGGCTTCCGCTCAGGGTAAAGGAGTCCCTGACCTGTCCTCACAGATTGAAGGTGATGTGAGCAGAATCTCACTTAACATCCATTCAAGCTTCATGGATCTCGCATGATCTTTGATAAGAATTCCTTACAGACTAGTGGCCAAATTTCAAGGCCTTGGACGTTCTAAAGATGCAGTGATTGTCCCAGTTAGCTCTGGGACTGTGTTAGTCAGCTTTCTCACTGCTGGGACAAAATACCCAACACCCCCAATTTAAAGGAGGACAGGTTGATTCTGGCTCCTGGTTTCAGTCCATGGTTGGCTGGCTCTCAGGCAGAAATGGCATGACAGAGAGGACCGATAGAGGAAAGGTGCTTAATCCTTAGCACCCAGGAAACAGAGCCATAGAAGGAGTCATGGACAAGAATACACCCTTCCAGGCCATGCCCTTATGACTCACCTCCAGCCAGGCCCCATCTCCTAGCTGCACGCTGAGCTACAAACTCGTCCATGAGTACAGCATCATGTCTGGTATAATCACCTTCCAAACACATGACTTGTGGGCATGTTTTAGATCTAAACCATAAAAGTTACCAACTTTCTAGTGTTCATTTGGAAAGCAGGTCAAGTGACAGTGATGTAGCACTCCTGCTTTTAATATGACAGCTTAACTATCCATTAGTATTTAGTCCTTAAAAGGGACCCAAGGAAGCCATCCAAGACTACCAAAATGCTTCTTTTCTAATTTTGTCCCTTCCGTTCAACAGAAGTGTTTCACAGTGGTTCCTGACCACTGGAAGGAGAGTCTGAGTTTCTCTAGAATAAATCCCTCTGCCAAATGCAGAAAGGCAGATCTGCTACAGGCAAGAGCAAAGTAAATGGCATGGGAGGATTTCCTAGAGGGCCAGTCTTGATGAACCTGTCAGAGCAGGAACTGGAATCCAGACAGGGCTATGGCTATCTCCTGAAGGACCTGCCAGCCACTCTGGGTGCTGGTGCTGGGAGTGTCTGAGATGGCAGGGAGGGTGCTTGCCTGCTGGTGTATTTGTGTGGGTAGCCGAGCTGGCCCAGGGGAGGCTGACTGATTAAATGGGAAGAGATCCTTGCTTAAACTGAAGACTTCATTTGGGAACTAAAAATCTTAACAAGTAACCTCTTGAACCTTGAGCCACATATTTTCTTGAAGAGTGTGCATTTGTTCTTGCACAAGGAGGGGGCTTATATTATTGAGAATAGGCTGAGATGAATATCACGAAGGTTATATTTAATGACATACTGTACTGGAAATCTGAAGACCTGCCTGCCGTAGATTTAAATTCCAACACTCGCCATAAATCTCTGCAATTGCAAAATATCAAAATGCCTAGGAATCATTTTAATAACCATATGATAGGTGGGAAAAAAGGGTGAGAGAGACTATCTGAATAAACCCAGAACAAGGCTGGGAATTTAGCTCAACAGCTCAGCGGCACAGCACCTGCCTAGCAAGCACAAGGTCCTGAGTTCAATCCCTGGTACCAAAAAATAAAAAAATAAAAATAAATAAAAAATTTAAAAAACAAAACAAAAGCACTAGAACAAATAAGGACAGTGACTCAGCAAAAATTAAGCTCAAAAAAAAGTCCACATCCAGGTGATTTCACCACTGAATTCTATAAAACATTTCAAGAAAAATTAATACTAATGATTCCCAAACTTTTCCAAAAATTAGTGGTGCAGAGAATACTTCTCAGCTCATTTTGGAAGACAGTATTAGCTCCCTAATACCAAAACCAGAAAAGGACATCATAAGAAAAGAAAGCTGTACGACAATTATCTATAGGATATGGATGCAAAAATCTCCAAGAAAATACTAATAAATTAACTTGAGGCTTATAAAGTAATTAATTGTACACCATGTCCAAATGGGTTTTATGCTATGCAGGTAAGTTCAGATTCCCAAACATATTAATGTAGCAAATCATATCAGCAGAATAAAAAGCACAGGTCATGTATTATCTTAAAAGACATAGGGAAAGCATTTACGTCCAATCTCACAAATCCAATATCCTTTCATGACAAAAAAATCACTGAACAAAATAAGAATAGAAACTGCTTGGTGAATGTGCCTCAGCCCAGATGGGCACAATCACTCCCAGAGAGGGCTCCGTACCATGGTTTCTGAGCTGCCCCAGAAGCTCTGTGGGCGTCCTCCACTTTCACACTCCCAGCACTGTCCAGTCCCCTCACCATTTCCCCTCCCACCTGGAGAGAGCTCTCTCCTCCGGGCCACCTCGATTTGGGCAGGCTCAGGGCTGCTGAGCTGGATGGGATGCTGGTGGCTGGATTCAGCTTCCTTAATCTGAGCTCATTGAACAGGCAGGGACCTTGCTTGATGCCCCTTTGCAGGGGGCTCCCTGCTCAGTGCTGCAAGCATGGAGGGGAGGTGGGGGCATGGTCCCAACCAGCAGTTGACCCACTCTTATCCTAGCAGATGCTGGAGGGCAGATACCAGCGCCTCCCCATCCTGCAGCCCCCCTGGTTCCCAACATCAGCACTCAGCCTTGGCACTCCGCAGTCCTGTCTTTTCTGTCCCTACCTCTCCCCGGCTGAGGCGGCCCTCAGTCCTGGGAGCTAGGCAGATGTGGTGTCTGCAGAGCGGTTTTGAATGCAGAGCTGAAGGAGCTACCCGGACTGGGGGCAGGGAGCACCCTACCTGCTCTGGGCCGGCACATCTACCCATGCATACATCCTGGCACCTGTCCCTCCCCTTCCTTCTTAACTGATGCCCACTGAGCCTGGCATTCTGAGTAATCAGCATTGCACCCAGCTGGCACTTCCATTTCAGAAGCCATGGAGACCCTGGGGGAGTGAGGGGTCCCCGCCTTGGCAAGGCAGGACATCTCGAGTGCAACCAACTCCAGCCCTTTGCTTCTCTGTCCTCCAAAAAGGGAGTCCCCAGGGTGCTAAGCATGGATCAGGACAGGGTGGAGGTCACTTGTTCCCTCACACAGGTGTCTGCATGGCCTGAAACACCAAGGGTGACCAGCCGGCGGTGTCCTTACTTCTCCTGGTTTCAATGATGTGCAGTGTTTAAAACAACCATGTTTGATTCTAAATCTTTTGCTATCTGAATAAAACAAAATTTATTTTTAAAAAAAATGAATAAAGAAAGAAATAAACTTACTCAACCTGATGAAAGGCACCTCCAAAACCCCCACAGCTAACAATATAATTAAAGGTGAAAGACTGAAAGCCCCACCCCAAGATGTCTGTCATCACCACTGTTATTCACCACTTTTATTCAACGTTGTGCTGGAAGTTCTAACGAGGGCAATCAGGCAAGGAAAAGAAAAAGTCATCCAGGCTGAGCGTGGTGGCACACACCTGTAATTCCAGAGCTCAGGAGCTGAGGCAGGAGAATCACAGAGAGTTTGAGGGCAGCCTGGGCTCTATAGTGAGTTCAAGGCCTGCCTGAACTACATAACAAGACCCTGAATTACATAGCAAAACAAAAACACAAAAAGAAATACAAACTATCTCTACTTCCAAAAGACATCATCTTATATCCATTGAAAAAGTATTATAAATAAGTTCAGCAAAATACAAGACCAACATATAAAAGTCAATTATATTTTCATATACTCACAATGAGCAATCCAAAACTAAAACTAATAAAACATTCTATTTCTAACAGCATCAAAATATGTTATTTAGAAATACATTTAACAAAGCAAATGCAAATCTGAAAACTGCAGAACATTGTTGAAAGAAATTAAAGATGATCCTAAATATATGGAAAAACATCCCATGTTCATGGATAGAAAGAATTAACAACGTTAAGATAACAGTACTCTTTACCCTGGGCTACAGGTTCAACATAATCCTGATTAGAAAGCCAGCTGACTTTTTTCTTTTGTTCTTTTGTTTTTGTTTTTGGTACCGGGGATTGAACTCAGGACCTTGTACTTGCAAGGCAGGTGCAGTGCCACTGAGCTAAATCCCTGGCCCCTAGCTGACTTCTTTGCTGTTTAGATGACTCTAAAATTCACATGGAATCACAAGGGACCCAATATAATAAAAATTATCCTGGAAAAGGAAAATAAAGCAGGAAGACTCACACTTCCTGATTTTAAAATACATTCCAGCAGTATTCAAGACAATGCAGCACTGGCAAAAGGAAGACATGGACCAATGAGATAGAATTGAGAGTCCACAGATAAATCTGTACATTAATGTTCCACCGATTTGCAACAAGAGACCATCCAATGGGAAAGGACAGTCTTTCAACACTTGATGTGGGCACAACTGCAACCGGATAGCCACGTGCAAAAGAAAGAAGCTGGGACCTTATCTGGCCCTCCATAGAAAAATTAACTCAAAATGGATCGATTATCTAAATGGAAATGTGAGCACTACTGCACTCTTGGCAGAAAATACAGGGCTAGATCTTCATGGCCTGGTATTTGGCTAGGCTCAATAAGCCTCTGTTGAATAAATAACTGGGACCTGCAGGGAACAGAAGACTGGCAGAACATGGTGACAGGCTTGGTATGAAGGATTAGAGATCAACCTTAGAGATGTACCTGCCGGACAAAATCCTCTGGAGGAACTCAGCTTCCATCTCTGAAGATCAGCTGGCTCATGAGCTTTGGTGGCTATGACTTGCTCAGTGATAACCTGTGGAAACAAAGCATGAGTGGCTTCCAACTCTCACCCATCTTGAGATCAACCTCACAACCCTTTCTCCCTTCCTCCAAACCAAACAGAATTTGGCTCTTTTTCCCAGTTCTAAAACTCTCAACCATTCATTTGTATTCATATTTGTCTGTTGGTCTCTTATGAACGGCAAAGTAATATATACCTGAACATCTCCCCTTTATTCTTTTCTCTTATTAATAAAAATTTTGTCAGGTAGTAGAAAAGTATAGAAAAGTTTTTATAAAAATGAAAGAAATCATATCCCATCAACCCGAAATCACATTCTGGAATCTTTTATTACTTCTACCAATTGACTATATATGTATGAATATTCTGTCTCCTTCTCCCTCTTTTTATCTTATGCACACAAATATGCCTTCTAAAAACTAGTCAAACTGGGTCCTGTGGTGCATGCCTGTAATCCCAGCAGTGGGGAGGCTGAGGCAGGAGGATCGCTGCAAGTTTGAGGCCAGCCTGGGCTACACAGAGAGTTCAAGGCCTGAACTACATAGTGAGACCCTGTCTCAAAAAGCCAAAAATAAAAAAATAAAAACTGCAGTCAAACACACATAAGATGAAATTTACCATCTTAACCATTTAAGTGTACAGTTCAGTGGTGCGAAGTACATTTATGCTACTGTCAAACCAATATCCAGAACTCTTTTCATCTTGCAAAACTGGAAGTCTCTACCCATCAAACCACTGCCCATTCCTCTATCCACTCCCTCACCCCAGCCCCTGACAAGCATCATTTTACTTTCTGTTTGTATGAATTTGACAAATCTGGGTGCCTCTTATAAGAGGAATCATTCAATATTTATCTTTTTGTGACTGGCATATTTCACCTAGCATAGTATCCTTATGATCCAACCTTGGTGTACCCCATGTTAGAATTTCTCTCCTCTTTATGGCTGTATAAATGTATATACCACATTTTCATTTATTCGTTCATTTGTTAATGAGCACTTGGGTTGCTTCTACCTGCTGGCTGCTTTAAACAATGCTGCTACGAACATGGGTGTGTAAAACCTCTTTGATGAGGCTGGGGATTTAGCTCAGTGCTTCCACTGCCTGCCTCAAAAGTGCAAGGTCCTCAGTTCGATTCCCAGTACCAAAAAAAAAACCTCTTTGAAACTCTATTTTCAATTCCTTTGAGTAAATATCCAGAAGCAGAATTTCTGAGTTGTATGGCAATCCTATTTTTAATTATTTGAGGAACTGCCATCCCATTTTCCATTGTGTCTGAACCACTTTATTCACCAACAGCTCACAAGGGTTCCATTTCTCTACATCCTCACCAAAACTTGTATCAATTTTTCAATAGTCCGTCCTGATGCTTGTGAGGCTTATGGTGTCTCCTCCTGGTTTTGATTTGCATTTCCCTAACAATTACTGAGGCTGATGACCATCTTGTTTTGTGCTTGTCAACCATCTGTGCATCTTCTTTGGAAAAATGTCTTATTCAAATCCTTTGGTCATTTCTGAAGTGGGTTTGGGTTCTTTTGTTGTTTTTGAAAAACTGTATCGACCCTTTATTCCCAATTGTAGTAGGTTGCCTTTCCCTCCTTGTGTCTTTTTTCTTTGGTGTAATGACATTTTTCATTTTGATGTACTCCCGTTTATCTACAAGTAGTTTTTCTTTTGTTACATGTGGTTTTGGTGTGATGTAGGAAATCACTGCCAAATCTAATGTTATGAAGGTTTTCTTCTATATTTTATTCCAAACATTTTATAAGTTTAGCATAAAATCTACAGTTTTTTTAAATGTATATTTCAGATTAAGAAAGTTCCCCCCTGTTCCTTATATAATGAAGACTTTTATCATGAATGAGTGCTAAATTTTGTCAAGCACTTTTTGTGTATCAGTTAACATGTTCATAGATTTTTCTTCAAATGGTTTTTTTCCCCAGAAATATAAACATTTTATTTCAATTAAAGGCAGCAGAAATATAAAAAAAAGAGGTTTTGATAATTTTAGAGACAAAAATCTCACCCTACTCATTTTCAGAGCTTTAAAAGCTCAAGCATTCTGTTTGGACGGATTTTTATGTAAACAGCTAGGAATTTACATGACACAAGGTTTCAACTCACTTTCTCTGAATGCTGTATAACCCCATCACCACATACTAAATTTTCAATTTTTTCAAAGTGCTGTTACCACAAGAGCACTGAACTACAGAGTAATTTAAAAAGACTATACAAACTAGATTGTAATGTCTTCAATACCTCAGCTTTCTTCAAATGTTAATATCATGAATAATATTGTTTCAAATGCTAATGTAACTATATTCCAAAAATAAACTACTCTCGTTCATAGTATATTATCTTCTTTAAATATTGCTAGATTCAAGTGGCTACTTTAATAAAGGGTTGGGTTTTTTTTTACATCTATACTGATAACGGGCAGTGATCAGTATTTTTTTGTAATATCTGTCTGATTTTGGTACCAGGGTTCTGCTGGTCTTATAAAACAGTGAAGTGTTTCCTCCTATATTTTCAGAAACAATTTATAAAAGATGGTTGTTATTTCTTCCATAAATATGTATAGAATTCATCAGTGAAATGATATGAGCCTGCAATTTTCATTAAAGATAATTCAGATTATCTTTACATGGTGCAGCTCTTTTGCTAAGTAGTATTTTTAAGGAATTTTTCCATATCATCCAAGTTGTTGAATTTACTGGCATGAAGTTGTAAGATCCCATTATTATCCTTTTATAGCCACAGAGTTTGTAATAGTCCATCATTAATTTCTGATATTTGCCTTGAGTATTTCCTGCTCTTAACCTTTTCTTTTCTTTTTCTTTTCTTCTTTTTTGTGGATAGACCTCATCTATGTTGCCTAGGCTAGGCTAATCTTGAATTCTTGGGCTCAAGCAATCCTCCTGCCTCATGCTCCCAAGTAGCTGGTACTACAGACATGTGCAACTGTGCCTGGCTTGTTTTTTTCTTTTGCATTTTGGTTTATTAAGATTTTTTATCATTTAAGGGAACTAAGTTTTGGATTGTCACTTATTTTTATTGTTTCTATTCCACTTCACTAATTTTTTTTTTGGTGGTGGTGGTGGTACTGGGGATTGAACACAACTTTCACACTAAGCTACATCCCCAACCCATTCTTATTTTGAGACAAGATTTTACTACGTCACCAGGTTGCTCAGGCTGAGCTTGAACATGCCTCAGCCTCTCGAGAGAATTGGGATCCCAGATATGGGCCACCACAAAGCTCATTTCACTGGTTTTCACTCTTATTACCTTCTTCCACTCACTTACTTTGAGTTAATGTACACCTACTTTATGGGTGACTGTGTGGATCTTCAGATGATTACTTTTTATACTATTTTTCCTTAAGAACTTTAATGAATTACATGCACAATTCACCCCTTTTTTAATTTTAATTTTTTGGTACCGGGGATCAAACCCATGCTTGCAAGGCAGCCATGGCATCACTGAGCTAAATCCCTGGCCCTGTAATTCACCCCTTTAATGTGAACGCTCAATAGTCTAATATATTCATAGATACACAACTGCCACTAAAGCTTTTGACTATTTCTAATATCCTCAAAAAGAAACCCTATATCCATCAACAGTAGTATCTTTCCCCTGAACTGCTATTGCTTTCTGGGAAGCAGGGGTTGAGCTAGGGTCTTGCTATGTAGTTCAGGCTGGCCTTGAATTTGTGACCATCCTCCTGCCTCGGTCTCCTCAGTGCTGTGATTACAGGTGTGCACCACCATGTCCGGCAACCTCTATTCTTTTAACAGAAGCAGTGAAAGTGATATATTTCTCTGGAAGCACTCCACTAGCAGGATGTCACCAAATTCTGTCACACAATCATTGTCATTTATTGTGAAATATTTTAAGTTCTCTGTTGATTTTACCCATGAAGCTTGAATTGTTAATCAGTATGTTGCCTAAATCAAAATTTTGGGCGATTTTCCAGATATTGGTGTTAGCAATTTAATTTCTTTGAGGTTAGAGGACATAATCTATTTGATTTCATTCTTTTTTGGGGTGGTTCTAGGGATCAAACTCTGAGCCTTTGCATGTTGCCAAGTGCTCTATTTCTGTGTTACATCCACAGCACCTGTCCCATTTTACAATCTTCTTCGAGACAGGGTCCAGGCTGGCCTTGAACTTGAGATTCCTCTGCCTGTGTCCTGGGTAGCTGGGATTTTAGGTGTGCACCACCATGTCCAGCATGATTTTATTTCTTTGCATGGATTTAGATTTGTTTCAGTCCATAATGTGGCGAATCCTGGTGTAAGCACCATGATGACTAAAAACTGAGATAGTTCATGTGCTCCAGACCTGTTACGGTGCCTGATAATATTCATATATATTAATGCACTTTCATTTGACCATTCCATCAGTGGCTGAGGCAGAGTTGTTACGATCAGTCTTTTGTCCTCTTTGTTCATGTACTTAAAGCTCTAGTATTAGCATGGTATTTATGATTACTATGGCTTCCAGTAAATTAATGTGGTTCTTTTTTTTTTCAATACTGGGACCCAAACCTAGGGCGTCACACATGCTAGGCAAATACTCTAGTGCTGAGCTGCACCCCAAGCCCCTAAATCAACTTCAACCCTACCAAGGGTCCTTCCTTTTTTCTGAAATCTCTGTAATATCAAGTGAAAACTTCACAATTAGCTCCAGGTGCCCGGCCCTGAGCAAATTTCTAGTATTTAATCCAGGCCTCTCTATCCTGTCCTCCACCTCCCTGTCATATATCCTACCACCCCTATTAAAGGCAGGCAGGGCAGGAGGAGATAAGGGCAGAGTTATGGAGAAGCTCAGAATGCAGGTTACTCATTCACCATACACCGCGCAGGGCAGGGCTCTCCTGGCTTCTGCTGACCTCAGGTCCCAGGACATGACTTCCTTTCCTCCTGACAGCCCTGGTTCACAGGGACAGGACCCAGACAGAAGGGACCTCAAGGTGCACAAAGGGGAAAAGTCTAGAAGAGGAGAGGTGA